GGGGAGGGATTTGGGGGGTCTCTGGGGGATTTGGGGAGGGGACACGGTGAAGGGGGTGGCTCAGCCCTGAGGGGAATCGGCCTGTCTGGGTACTGACAGGTGGAGGGGGGCTAGGAGGGGAATTTGGGGGTCTCGGGGATTTGGGGAGGGGGACACGGGAGGCACACGGGTTGAGGTTTATTGGGGTGAACTGGGAGGGACTGGGGTGATACTGGGAGCACTGGGAAGGGGCCACAGAGTCTCTGAGGAGGGAAATGGGGTGAGAAAAGGGGGAAATGAGGTTGGAAGAGGGGGAAATGAACCTTTAAATTGGGGAATCCGAGGCAAAAAAAGAGAAAAGGAGGCGGGAAATGAGGAAACTGAGGCAGGGAAGGGAAAAAGGGAGCAAAAAGGGGGGGAAATGCACCTTTAACTGAGGTGAAGTGAGACAGGAAGGGAAGGAAACGGCCTGGAAAGGGGAAAACCGAGACAGGGAAAGGGAAAAACAGCCTGGAAAGGAGGAAACCGGGACAGGGAAGAGCAAAACTAAGCCAGAAAAAGCCTTTTAAGCAACTTTTGCCCGTTGCTGCACCCCAGGAGGGGCCGTGGGGTCACTCCAGGGGTTCTGCCCCTCCCCGAGGGGGGGGTGAGCCGAGTGACCCCCCAACCCCTTCCCCCCCATTGTGGGCCCCCCCAGGACTCGCAGGACTCGTCGGACGGGGCCCCGTCGGCACCACGGATGACGGGCAGCCTCGTGTCCGACCGGAGCCACGACGACATCGTCACCAGGATGAAGAACATCGAGTGCATCGAGCTGGGCCGGCACCGCCTCAAGCCCTGGTACTTCTCGCCCTACCCCAGGAGCTCACGGGGCTGCCCGTGCTCTACCTGTGCGAGTTCTGCCTCAAGTACGGCCACAGCCTGCGCTGCCTCCAGAGGCACCTGGTGAGGGGATCCCGGCAATTCTGGGGGGATTGGGGGCATTGGGGGTCACTGGGACTGGGACTGGGGGCACTGGGAACCCCCCAGACCCTCCTGGGGCTGCCCGTGCTCTACCTGTGCAAGTTCTGCCTCAAGTACGGCCACAGCCTGCGCTGCCTCCAGAGGCACCTGGTGAGGGGATCACGGCAATTCTGGGGTGATTGGGGGCATTGGGGGTCACTGGGATTGGGGGCACTGGGAACCCCCCAGAGCCTCCTGGGGCTGCCCCTGCTCTACCTGTGCGAGTTCTGCCTCAAGTACGGCCACAGCCTGCGCTGCCTCCAGAGGCACCTGGTGAGGGGATCCTGGCAATTTTGGGAATTCTGGGGGGATTGGGGGTACTGGGATTGGGATTGGGGGCACTGGGAACCCCCCAGAGCCCTCCTGGGGCTGCCCCTGCTCTACCTGGGTGAGTTCTGCCTCAAGTACGGCCACAGCCTGCGCTGCCTCCAGAGGCACCTGGTGAGGGGATCCCGGCAATTCTGGGATGATTGGGGGAATTTGGGGCACTGGGATTGGGATTGGGGGCACTGGGATTGGGATTGGGGGCACTGAGAACCCCCCAGACCCTCCTGGGGCTGTCCCTGCTCTACCTGTGCGAGTTCTGCCTCAAGTACGGCCACAGCCTGCGCTGCCTCCAGAGGCACCTGGTGAGGGGATCCTGGCAATTCTGGGGGAACTGGGGGCACTGGGATTGGGACTGGGGGCATTTGAGGCACTGAGATTGAGATTGGGGGCACTGGGAACCCCCCAGACCCTCCTGGGGCTGCCTCCGCTCTGCCTGTGCGAGTTGTCCCCGACAGCCACGGGCACAACCCGCTTTTTATCCCTCCTTTTTTTCCCCCCCTTTTTTCCCCCCCTCCCCCCCTTTCCTTTTGAACCCCCAAACTCCTCGTTCTGCCCCCCCAAACCCCCCCAGACCAAGTGTGACCTTCGCCACCCCCTGGGAACGAGATTTACCGCAAGGGCACCATCTCCTTCTTCGAGATCGACGGCCGCAAGAACAAGGTCAGGGGGGTATCCTGAGGAAGTTTGGGGGTGTCTCCCCTTTCCCAGAGCCCTCCTTTCACCCTTCCTCGCCCCCCTCCCCAGAGCTATTCCCAGAATCTCTGCCTGCTGGCCAAGTGTTTCCTGGACCACAAGACCCTTTACTACGACACCGACCCCTTCCTGTTCTACGTCATGACCGAGTACGACTGCAAAGGCTTCCACATCGTCGGCTACTTCTCCAAGGTGGGGCTTTGGGGGGCTGGGGGGGTCAGGCAGGGGGTACAGGGGTGGCAGGGGGCTGGAAGGGTTTTGAGGGGGTTTTGAGGGGTTTGGGGGCAGTTGGGAGTTCCCAGGGTGGGTTTTGGGTGGCTCAGATGGTTTTTGGGATCCCCTGGGGGTTTTGGGGGACAGCTGATTGGGGGTGTGGGGGTCCTAAAGGGGGTTTTGGGGTGTTCCTAGGGTGGGTTTTTGGGGGGCTCAGCTGGGTTTTTTTGGGGTCCCCAGGAGAAGGAATCCACCGAGGATTACAACGTGGCCTGCATCCTCACCCTGCCCCCCTACCAGCGCCGGGGCTACGGCAAACTGCTCATCGAGTTCAGTGAGTGACCCCAAACACAGCCCCAAGGACCCCCAAATACACCCCCAAGGACCCCCAAACACAGCCCAGGGACCCCCAAACACACCCCTCATCGAGTTCAGTGAGTGACCCCAAACACAGCCCCAAGGACCCCCAAATACACCCCCAGGGACCCCTAAACACGGCCCGGGGACCCCCAAACCCACCCCTCATCAAGTTCAGTGAGTGACCCCAAAAACAGCCCCAAGGACCCCCAAATACACCCCCAGGGACCCCCCAAACACCCCAGGGGCCACCCAGATCCACAGGGACCCCCAAATCCTCCCGGGGTGGGGAGAGGGCAGCGATAAACCCCCCTGGGAGCCCCCAAATCCCCGCTGGGTGGGTGTGCTGGGGGTGGGTGGGGGGTGCCCTGGCTGGGTGTGTCCCCCCAGCATGGGTGTGCCCCCTCCCCAGGTTACGAGCTGTCCAAGGTGGAGGGCAAGACGGGCACCCCCGAGAAGCCGCTGTCGGACCTGGGGCTGCTCTCGTACCGCAGTTACTGGTCCCAAACCATCCTGGAGATCCTCATGGGCCTCAAGGCCGAGCCCGGAGAGCGGCCCCAGATCACCATCAAGTGAGACCCCACCCCTGGGACACGCCCCTTACCCACGGGACACACCTGTCCCCACAGGACACGCCCACCCCCATGGGACACTGATGGGATCAGGGGGTCTCGAGGGTGTTTGGGGGCTCTGAGGGAGTTGGGGGGTCTCGAGGGTGTCTGGGGGCTCTGAGGGAGTTGATTGGGTCGAGGGGGTCTGGGGGCTCTGAGGGAGTTGGGGGGTCTGGGGGCTCTGAGAGAGTTGATTGGGTCTGGGGGTGGTCTGGGGGCTCTGAGGGAGTTGAGGAGGTCTAGGGGTGGTCTGGGGGCTCTGAGAGAGTTGAGGTCTGGGGGTGGTCTGAGGGCTCTGAGGGAGTTGAGGAGGTCTGGGGGTGGTCTGGGGGCTCTGAGGGAGTTGAGGGGGTCTGGGGGGTGGTCTGGGGGCTCTGAGGGAGTTGGGGGGGGTCTCAGGGGGGGTTTCTGGTGGTCCCCCCCCTCACTGTGCGCTCCCCCCCAGTGAGATCAGCGAGATCACGAGCATCAAGAAGGAGGACGTGATTTCCACCCTCCAGTACCTGAACCTCATCAACTACTACAAGGTGGGGCCCCAAAACCCCTGGGGGGGTCCCCAAAACACCTGGGGGGTTCCTTGTCCCACACCTGCCACCCCTCACCTGTCCCACACACCTGGGCTGGGTCGGTGCATCCTGAGGCTCTCCAAGGGCACCCCTGTGCCACCTGTGTCACCCTGTCCCCTCTGTGTCACCTTGTCCCCTGTGTGACACCCAGCTGTCCCCATGTCCCCACACAGGGTCAGTACATCCTGATGCTGTCCTAGGACACCCCTGTCCCCATCACGTCACCCTGTCCCCTGTGTGACACCCAGCTGTCCCCATGTCCCCACACAGGGTCAGTACATCCTGATGCTGTCCTAGGACACCCCTGTGTCACCCTGTCCCCCGTGTGACACCCAGCTGTCCCCATGTCCCCACACAGGGTCAGTACATCCTGACGCTGTCCTAGGACACAACCCTGTCCCCTGTGTGACACCCAGCTGTCCCCACACAGGGTCAGTACATCCTGACACTGTCCTAGGACACCCCCTGTCCCCTGTGTGACACCCAGCTGTCCCCTGTGTGACACCCAGCTGTCCCCATGTCCCCACACAGGGTCAGTACATCCTGACACTGTCCTAGGACACACCCTGTGTCACCCTGTCCCCTGTGTGACACCCAGCTGTCCCCATGTCCCCACACAGGGTCAGTACATCCTGACGCTGTCCTAGGACGCCCCTGTCCCCGTCATGTCACCCTGTCCCCTGTGTGACACCCAGCTGTCCCCTGTGTGACATCCAGCTGTCCCCATGTCCCCTGTACAGGGTCAGTACATCCTGACGCTGTCCTAGGACACACCCTGTCCCCTGTGTGACACCCAGCTGTCCCCTGTGTGACACCCAGCTGTCCCCATGTCCCCACACTGGGTCAGTACATCCTGACACTGTCCTAGGACACAACCCGTCCCCTGTGTGACACCCAGCTGTCCCCATGTCCCCACACTGGGTCAGTACATCCTGACGCTGTCCTAGGACACCACTGTGTCACCCTGTCCCCTGTGTGACACCCAGCTGTCCCCGTGTCCCCACACAGGGTCAGTACATCCTGACACTGTCCTAGGACATCGTGGAGGGCCACGAGCGGGCGATGCTGAAGCGGCTCCTGCGCATCGACGCCAAGTGCCTGCACTTCACCCCCAAGGACTGGAGCAAGCGCGGCAAGTGGTGAGGCCACGCCCACGATGGGGACACGCCCATCCCACAGGACACGCCCATAAAGGGGACACGCCCCCTCATCCGCGCCAGGCCACGCCCTCCTCGTTATCCGCCAGCCGTAATTAAACAACGCCTGGCCCCGCCCACACCTGGGGCTGTGGAGTCTTTATTGATTAAAGGGGGTGGGGCTTGAATGGGAGGCTCCACCCACTGCAGGACGAACCTCATTTGGTTAAACAGGCTCCTCCTACTGTGGGAGGGACCTCATTTGGTTAAGCAGGCTCCTCCCACTGTGGGAGGGACCTCATTTGGTTAAACAGGCTCCTCCCCACTGTGGGAGGAACCTCATTTGGTTAAACAGACCCCTCCCACTGTGGGAGGGAGCTCATTTGGTTAAACAGGCTCCTCCCACTGTGGGAGGAGCTCATTTGGTTAATCAAGCCCCTCCCACTGTGGGAGGAGCTTTGTGCATGGGCAGGGCCTGTCAAGGAAGCACCAGCTTTTATTGGCTTGGGGAAGTGGGAAGGGGTGTGGCTTGCACAGGCTCCACCCACAGTGGGAGGGGCTTGAGTGGGTGTGACCCATCAAGGGTGGGTATTGGTTTATTCATGAGGGGGTGTGGCTTGGACAGGCCACACCCACAGTGGGGAGGAGTTACATGTAGGTGTGGTTTGTGATGGCTCCACCCCTTCACAGTGGGCAGGGCCTGTCAGAGCTCCGCCTCCTCATCGCTGTCATCGCTCACGGGGGCGTGGAGCTGGGGGGGGGGAATAGGGGGTGAGGAGGGGGCTGAGACCCCCAAAATTGGGCACTGGGACTTTAAACATGACCCCAAACTCCACCTCATGGCCCCAGGACCCCCCACCACCCCCAGACCCCCCATCACCCTCAGGACCCCCACCACCCCCAGACCCACCTCCCTGGTGAGGCTCCACCAATGTGACCCCAGAACCCCAGATGTGACCCCAGGACTCCCAAGACCTCCCCAGGAGATCCCTAGCCCACCAAATGTGACCCCAGAACCCCAGATGTGACCCCAGGACTCCCGAGACACCCCCCCAGGAGACCCCCAACCCACTTCCCTTGCAAGGAATGTCTAAATGTGGCCTCAGGAACCCCCAACTGTGACCCCAAACACCCCTCCCCGACCCCAAAATGTGACCCTAGACCCTCCCCAAGTCCCCCCAGAGCCCCTCAGGACCCCCAAATATGACCTCAGATCCCCCCCAGACGCACCTCCCTGGCGAGGGTCCCCCACTGCAGCGCCCGGGCCAGGCCCCGGCCGGGAGGGGGAACAGCATCGGCCCCCCAGTCCGTGATGGTCCCAAAGGACCCCCAGACCGACACCCACCGGGGCTGGGGGGGGCACAAGGCACAGGTCAGGGGGCTGAGACCCCCGGGGGGGGGAAAATAGGGGTCTCAGCCCCCACAGAAGAAGGGGGGGAGTTCTGGGGGTCTCAGCCCCCCCACCTCACCTGGGGGTCCTCGGGGTCGCAGAGTGGGGGCTCCCCCGGCTCCCCCTCCCTCAGCAGGACCCCCCTGTAGCCGGGGGGGAGGGGCAGCTCCCGCCCCCCCAAACGGCGCCCCCGGAAAGAGGTCCAGAGCTCTGAGGGGGGGAAAATTGGGGGAAGGGTGGGGACACAGTGAGGGCAGGTGGGACCCCACAGCTGCCCCCACCTCCCACAAATACCCCCAGATCCTCCCCCCATCCCAGACACTCCCCGGCCTCCCCTCGTTCTCCCCCAACCCCAACGAACCCCCAGGACCCCCTCCCTAAAGCAAACCCATCCCCTCAGGGACTCCCTCAAACTTCCCTCCCTCCCTGGACCCCTCACACCCATCCCTCCCCAAGGTCCTCCCCCCACACACACACCCCTCCCCGCCTCACCGCCGTCGGGGCCGGCTTGGACCCTCATGAAGGCGGCCACGGGCGCGGGCCCGTCGTGCCTGATTCGGCAGGGCAGGAGCTGGGCCGGGAGCGGGGCCGGGGGCGGCCCGGGGGGGAACCGAACGCGAATCGCCATCGCGGCGGGCCTGAGGGGAGGGGAGGGGAGGGGAGGGGAAGATGGCGGCGCCCGTGAGGGGAATTAAGATGGCGGCGCCCATGAGGGAAAATCAAGATGGCGGCGCCCTGAGGGGAATTAAGATGGTGGCCCCACGCAGGGCGCGAAGGGGCCGCGGCGCGGGGGATGACGGGAAATGTGGTTTGGGGGCGGGGGGCCTTTGAGGGACCCCCCCCAAATATTGGGGGACCCTCTAAGATAGGACCAATTCCCCCCTCCCCCAAGACCTACAGGGACCACAGAGTGTTGTAGACCCCCAGGGACACCCCCACACACACACACACCCAGAGAGAGCCCCCCAGACCCCCCGGATTGACCCCCACGGGACCCCCCCACAGAACCAGGCACTGACTCTGCACGTTCCATGTTCAGGGGGGTCACAGGACACGGGGGGGACACACACACGGGGCACGACACGTCACGACACATCCCGACACGCGTCAACACGTCGCAACATGTCCCGACATGCATCGACACGTCGTGACACGTCCTGCCACGCTCCATCACGGTCCTTCGCAGCTGGTCACACTCCGGCACGTGTCGACACGTCACGACACATCCTGAGAGACCATCGACGTGTCCCCACAGGCCCCAACACGTCCTGACAGGCCCCGTCACGTCGTGACATGTCCCGTCGGATCTCGACGTGTCCCGACGTCCCAAAACTGCCCAAAGCACCCCCAAAACTCCCCCAGACGCTCCGTCATGGCCCCTCCACGTCACGACATGTCCCGATGCATCCCGACAGGCCCTGACGCGCTCCATCATGTCGTGACGTATCGTGACATGTCCTGTCCTATCTCGACACATCCTGACCCCCCAAAACGGCCCAGAACACCCCAAAACTCTCCAAAACACCCTGTCACCCATGGCCCCGCCCCCTTCCCTGTCGCGACAGGGTCATGCCCCCTCCCCGCAGCAGCCGGGCCAGCAGCAGGACTCCCCAGCGCTGCCCCTGCACCCGCCCTGACTCCCGGCCCCCTGCGCCAGGACCACCCCGGGGGCGGCGGCCGCCAGGGCCCATCCCCATCCCCGAGGGCAGCAGGAGGGGGCGAGGGCGGAGGGAGGGTCGCGTCCCCCTCTCCCCATCACCAGGAGGGTCTCGGGCCCCCAGCGCCCCCACATGGCCTCGAAGGCGCGGCGGGCGCGGGGGGTCCCAGGGCGGGGGAGGGCGAGGGGGCGCAGCAGGACCCCTAAGGGCAGAGCCAGCGGGGAGGGGGCCAGGAACGAGCCCCCTCCTCTTTGGGGGCGGTGAAAGGGCGACAGCCTCGAGGGAGGGGGCAGGGGCAGGAGGGCCGCAGGGTCACGGTCAGGTCGCGACCCCCAGCACCGCCAGGGCCCCTCGGCGCAGCCCCTGCCCCCCAGCAGCAGCTGCAGCGCCAGCACCGGGGACCCCGGATTGGGGCACCTCGATTTGGAGGTGGGGTCCCATCAGCACCCCTGTCCTGGGGCTCCCCAAAGGCTCCACCCGCAACCGCAGGGAGGGGCACGGGACCCCCGCCACCAGCGCCCCCCAACCTCGGGGTCCCCGGGGCTCTGGGGCGCCGCGAAGGGCAGGGGGGCCTGGGAGGACGCGGAGGCTGCAGGGGGCGCGGGCAGGAGCGAAGGGAGCCCCCACCCTCCTCGCCGGAGCCCCCGGCGGCCCCGTTTTGGGGGCGGGGCGCCGCGCAGCGAGAAGGGGGGCCCCAAAAGCGCGGCCAGTTTGGGGGCCCAGCGCGGCCGCTAGGGCCGAGTGGAGCCGCAGCCGGTCCCCCCACGTCAGGGTCCCCTGAGAGCGCCCTGGGTGGGGGCACAGGGACCCCGGCAGGGCAGGAGGGGGCGGCGGCGCTCAGGACCCCTGGGAACCCCCCAGCCCCCTTTGGGCCGCCAGCGCCCGCCGCAGGTACCCCCGGATCTGGGGGTGGCTCTGGGGTCCCCTGCCGCGGGGGTCGCGGGGAGACCTCGCAGCACCCTGAGGACCCCCCGCAGTTGGGGGGTGCCGGGGGGGGGCGGGGGGACCCGCAGGACCTGCCCCCTCAGAGCCCCCCCGAGGGACCCCCCCAGGACCTGGGCGAGCTCCAGCAGGTGGGGGGGGGTCGCGGGGTGCCCCCCCCGCAGCAGCTTCTCGGCCGCGCCCCCCAGGGCCCCCCCCGGGGGGAGCCCCCCGAACCAGCGCCGATACGAGACCACCGCCCGGCAGAAGAGAGCGGGGGGGGCGCCCCCCAGGAACCCCCCCAGCAGCCCCCACAGCCACTCGCGGCCCCCCCGCAGCCCCGGGGGGGCTCCAGACCCTTTGCCCCCCCCCACGGGGGGAGACCCCCCCTCGATTTGGGAGCAAAAAGCCGCGGCCGCCTCGAAACGGGGCAGGAACATCTCGGGGGGGTCCCCGCGACCCCCCCCCGGGAACAGCGCGGCCGCCAGAGCGGGGGGCACGGCCCCGATTTTGGGGGGTCCCGCCCCCCCCTCGAGGAGGAAGAGGAGGAAGAAGAGGCGCAGAGGGGGGGGCAGGGCCGGGTGAAGCGCCAGGGAGGCCAAACGGGCCGGGGGGGCCCCCCCAAAACCGCCCCCCCCGGCCCGGAGAAGGGCGGCGTGGAGCGGGGCGGGGTCCCCCGTGGCCCAAAGTGGGGGGGTCCCGTCCTCGGGGACCCCAGGGGGCTCTGGGGTCCTGGGGACTCTGGAAGGTCCAGGGGTCTCTCAGTGGTCCCGAGGGGACTCTGAGAGGTCACGGGGGGCTCTGGGGGTCCTGTGGGAGCTCTGGGGATTCCTGGGGGCTCTGGGGGTCCCGAGGGTTCTGGGGTCCCCGGTGGAGGTCCTGACCCTCCGCAGCTCCCTCAGACACTCCGCGGCAGTGCCGCCGAGCCCCCCGCTCCCCCTCGAGCAGCAGAGCCCCTAAAATCGCGACCCCCGCCCGGTCCTGGGTGGCCACGAGCACCGTGAGGGTCGCCAAGAGCAGGAGGGCTCGGGGGCGGGGGCCCGTGGGGGCTCCGGATAGAAGGGCCAGCAGGGCCCCCAGCCTCCCCACCGCGGAGCCCTCCGCCCTCCTCGGGGGCTCCGCGACCACCCCCTTCCCCCGCAGAGCTCCAGGGGGTCTCCAAAGCAGCAGCAGCAGCTCCGTCTGGGGAGGGGAAATGGGAGGAGAGGGTCAGGGTGGGGACCCCAGACCGACCGATGAGCTGGTCTGGGGTCCCCACCCTGACCTCTCCCCCAGGACCTCCAATAACCACCCGAGGTCCCCAAATAACCCCCTGAGTACCCCCAAATAACCCCCCAGAGACCCCAAATAACCACCCTAGGGACCCCTAACTAACCCCCCAAGGACCCCTAAATAACCCCCAGGGATCCCCAAATAACCCCACGAGACCCCAAATAACCCCCAGGGACCCCAAACAACCCCCGAGGACCCCCAAATAACCCCCCAGGGACCCCAAATAACCCCCAAGGACCCCAAAATACCCCCCCAGGGACCCCCAAATAACCCCCAGAGACTCCCCAAATAACCCCCCAGGGACCTCCAAATAGCCCCCAGGGGTGCCTGGAATTTGGGGAGGGAGCGGGGGTGGGAGAGGGCAGGGAGGGGCTTCAGGGATGGGAACCCCAAATCAGCCCCCCTCAGGGACCCCAAATAACCCCCAGGGGTCCCAGGAATTTTGGGGACCTCCAACCCCTCCCCCCACAGGGATCTCAAAGTGAGGGGGGCGCCCAGGATCCCCAAATCCCCTCCCCGGGGACCCCCAGGAAGTTCGGGGACCCCCTCCCCAAATCGCCCCCAGAAATCCGGGAACCCCAATTTTTCCCTCCTCTCCCTCCTCCGCCGTGGCCCCTCCCCGGGCGCGGCACCTGATGACGCAGGTGGGGGCGGGGCCTGCGCATGCGCGCAGCGCGGGGGCAGGGGACCCCGGGGCGAGAGAGGCCGCGAGACGGGCCCAGGGACCCCCCCCCGCCATGGCACCCGCGGGGCGCGACGGGAACGGCTGACGTCACACCGCCGGGGACGTCACAATCACCCCGCCCCAACCACCTACAGACCTTATGGGGTCCCTATAGAAACCCCCCCGACCACCTATAGACCTTATGGGGTCCCTATAGACACCCCGACCGCCTATAGACCCCCCTACAAACCCTATGGGGCCCCTATAGACCCCCGACCCCCCTACAAACCCTATGGGACCCCTATAGAGCTCCAGACCCCCTATAGACCCTATGGGACCCCCATAGACCCCAGACCCCCTACAAACCCTATGGGACCCCTATAGAGCTCCAGACCCCCTATAGACCCTATGGGACCCCCATAGACCCCAGACCCCTCTATAGACCCTATGGGACCCCCATAGATCACAGATCCCCCTATGGACCCCCCAAACCCCCGTAGTTCCCCTGCCCCTCAAGCCCTGCAGGTCCCTATGGCCCCCCCAGCCCACCCTGTAGCCCCTTTAAATCTCCCCCTGACCCTATAGAGCCCCTATAGCCCCCCCATTCCCCCCCACCCATCCCGGTGACACCCCCGGCTCCCCGGGCGGGGCTGAGTCAGGGGCAGGACGGGCCGGTTCCAGCGTCCCCCGGGCCGTGTCCCTCCCGTGTCCCCTCCCCGTGTCCCTCCGGGCCGTGTCCTCCTCGTGTCCCCTCCCTGTGTCCTCCCCCGTGTCCCCTGGCCGTGTCCCTCCCCGTGTCGTCCCCACCGTGTCCTGTGTTCCCCCGGGCCGGTTGTCCCTCCCGGTGTCCCCTCCTGTCCTGTGTCCCCCCGGGCCGGTTGTCCCCTCCCGGTGTCCCCTCCCTGTCGCATGTCCCCAACTCCAGGACTGGTCGGACCGGCCCCTTCCCCCCCCGATCCCGCCCTCCTCCTCCCGGGGTACCGGACCCCGCCCCGGCCACACGTACCGGGACCTGGGGACACCCTGACCCCTGGGGACACTCCCTGATCCCCCGGGACACCCTGACCCCCCGGGGACAACCCGACCCCCTCGGGGACACCAATGCCCCCCCAGGTGACACAGGTGTCCCCCAAGGGAGGGGACAGGGACAGCGAGGGGGAGTGGGAGGACAAGGAAGGGGGTCCCCCTGTCCCTGTCCCCCCGTGTCCCTCTGTGTCCCCAGTGTCCCCCTGTCCCCCATCGCTGTGTCCCCGAGTCCCCCCCACGTGTCCCCTCATGTCCCCTTTGCCCCAATGTCCCCAATGTCCCCATATTTGTGTCCCAATGTCCCCCCATGTCCCCATGTCCTCCATCCCCATGTCCCCGTGTCCCCAATGTCCCCATCCCTGTGTCCCCAAGTGTCTCCAATGTCCCCCTGTCCCCCCATGTCCCCATGTGTGTCCCCAATGTCCCCAATGTCCCCATCTCCGCCTCCCCAAGTGTCTCCAATGTCCCCATGTCCCCATCCCTGTGTCCCCAATGTCCCTTCCCCCGGTGTCCCCCACGGCCCTGTCCCCTCTTCCCTCCAGTGTCCTCTGTCCCCTGGTGTCCCCCCTGGCTCTGTCCCCTGTCCCCCCAAGGGTGTCCCCTGTCCCCCCGGGGGTGTCCCCATGTCCTGTCTCTGTCCCTGTCCCCTGTCCCTGTCCCCCAGTGTCCCCCCGGGGGTGTCCCCGCGTCCCGCCGCAGTCCCCTGTCCCCCCGGGGGTGTCCCCATGTCCTCTCTCTGTCCCTGTTCCCTGTCCCCCAGTGTCCCCCCAGGTGTGTCCCCTGTCCCCCCAGGGGTGTCCCCCAGTGTCCCCCAGGGGGTGTCCCCGCGTCCCGCCGCCGTCCCCTGTCCCTCTGGGGGTGTCCCCTGTCCCCCCGGGGGTGTCCCCGCGTCCCGTGGCCGCCCCCTGTCCCGGGGCCGGGGCGGGGGCTCCCCGTTATTTCCCAACGCGGCGCCCGCCCGACCGGCTCCGGCTCCGGCAGCGCCGCGGCCGCGCCACAACCGGCACAACCGGTCCGGGGGCGGGACCGAGCGGGATAACTGAGGGATAACTGCGGGATAGCGCCGGGATAACAGCGGGACAACAGCGGGATAACAGTGGGATAGCACCGGGATAACAACGGGACGGGACAGCTGGAATCGGCACCGGCACCGGGATAACAAACGCCGGGATAACAGCGCTGGGATCGGCACCGGCATCGGGATAACAGCGGGACAACAGCAGGACAGGACAGCTGGGATCGGCACCGGGATAACAGCGCTGGGATCGGCACCGGCATAGGGATAACAGCGGGACAACAGCGGGATAGCACTGGGATAGCCCCGGGATAACAGCGGGACAACAGCGGGACAGGACGGCTGGGATCGGCACCGGCACCGGGATAACAGCGCTGGGATCGGCACCGCTGGGATAACGCCGGGATAGCACGGGGATAACGCCGGGATAGCACCGGGATAACAGCGCCGGGATCAGCACAACCGGCACAACCGGTCCCGGCGGGGCGGGACTGGAGGGACGCGCAGCCGGGACGGCACCGGGAGAACCCCGGGATAAAAAACACCGGGATAACAAACAAACGCCGGGATAAAAAAAAAAACCGGGATAAAAAAACAAACCCCGGGATAACAAACACACCGGGATAGGACACCTGGGAACGGCACAAGCGGGACTGGCACCGGCACTGGGATAACAGAACTGGGACTGGGATCACCGGGATAACAGAGCTGGGACTGGGATCGGCACAGCCGGGACTGGCACCGGGACTGGCACGGCCGGGAGTGGCACAACCGGGACGGCACAACCGGAGCTGGGACAGCGCAGCCGGCACCGGTGACGCCGGTTTGGGGCCGGGGACACCGGCAGGGCTGACACCGGCCCCTGGTGACAGCCGGGGGTGGCAGTGACGTTGCCGCGGGGGACACCAGAGCCGGGGGATGGACTGAAGGTGCCGGGTCCGTGGTGGGATCGACCCGGGATCCGGTGGGGAAACCCACGGGGGGAGCCTGGATCTGGCACAGGAATCGAGTCAGTCCCTGGGATCTGACCCAGAGCGGAGCGGGATCTGCACCTGGAATCGGCCGGAACGCCCGGATCCATCCCCAAAACTGAGCCAGGAGCGGGGATCCAGTGCTGGGATTCACTGGTGATTTGGGATCCAGCACCAAACCCCACCAAGGATCTGGGATCAGCACTGACCAAGGATCTGGGATCCAGCACCAAACTCCACCAAGCATTTGGGATCCAGCACCAAACCCCACCAAGGATTTTGGGATCAGCACTGACCAAGGATCTGGGATCCAGCACCAAACCCCACCGAGGATTTTGGGAATCAGGTCCTGAAACACCCCTGGGGTCCGAGATCCCACCCCCGGAATCCGGCACCGAGCCCGTCCCGGGGGTCTCTGATTCGGGAGCAGAGATCCAGGGGGGATCCAAGGGGGGGATTCCAGGGGGGATCCACCGGGATCCATCGGCATCCACCGGCCATGCCCCGAGCGTTCCTGGTGAAGAAGCCGATTTTGGCCACGGCCAAACGAAACTGGAGCGAACTCCCGGACGAGCAGCGGGCCGAGATCTACGTGCCCAGTATGGGGGATTTTGGGGGGCAAAGGGGGAGTCTGGGGGGCCTTGGGGAGGTTTTGGGGTGCCCGGACTTTCGGGTCTCTCTCGGGGGATTTGGGGACGGTTTGGGGTGCCTGTGTCCCTTTTAGGGGGATTTTGGGGTGCTCGGACACTGAGGGGGTTTCAAGGGGATTTTGGGGTGTCCGGTTCCCTTTGGGGGAGGTTGGGGAGTTTGTGTCTCATTAGGAGGGGGGATTTTAGGGTGCCCGGACTCCTGAGTCCCTTTGGGGGGATTTGGGAGGTTTTTGGGGTGTCCTCGTCCCTCGGGGGTGGGGGAGGGGATTTTGGGGTGCCGTCTGGGTCCCCGCCAGGCCCCGGGGGGTGTGGGGAGGGTGGGGTGGCGTCCCCCCGCGGGGCCCACGCGGGCGGAAACCCCTAATTTGGGGAGTCGCGGCCGGAGCCGTCGGACCGGTCCGGGGAACCCCGGCAGGGAGGGGGAGGGGCAGGGGAGGGGCCCCCAAATAATCCTCCTCCCGCCCGGGGAGGGGAGGGGTCGGGGGTGATCTTTGGGGGCCCCCTTGAGGGGCTGGAGGAGGGGTCGTATTTGGGGTGGGGGGTCACATTTGGGGATCCCATTGGGGTTGTGTTTAGGGGGTCATATTTTGGGGGTCACGGAGGGGAGTCAGATTTGAGGGTCATAAATTGGGGGAGGTCTATAAGGAGGTCCCACGGGGTGGGAGACCCATAATGGGGAGGGGTTGGTGTCTCATTGTGGGGTCACATTTAGGAGGGGGTCCCATTTTTGGGGGTCCCTCGGTGAGGGGAGGTGTCTCCTTTGGGGGGCGGTATTTGGGGGTGCAGGACCCTCCTCAAACCATTGCCCCCAGTCTGCCTGGGGGCTGCCCCTACGCAGGGACCCCGAGCCGGCCGTGGGTGAAGCCCCTCGTCCCCCGTGTCCCCCTGGACATGACGCTGCCCCCGGCCCCCACGCCCCCCGGCCCCTTCCTGCACCCCAAGGGCAAGGTAAGGGGAGCCCTCCAAATTTAGGGGTAGGTGTGAGCTGGGGTGCCTGATTTGGGGGTCCCAGGGCCTGGGAGGGATCCCTGAGACTGAGGGGGTGGCTTTAAACTGGGGTCCCCAAGGTGGGAGGTGTGTGCTGAAAACAGGGGGTCTTCAAGATTTGGGGGGGAGGGTCCCCAAAGCAGGTGGGGTCCCATGATTTGGGCTCCCCTCAACTGGGGGGCCCCAAAACCGTGGGGTCCGAACTGGGGGAGGGGTCCCTAAAGGGGAGGGTCCTCATGACCTGGGGGGGATCCCCAAGATTTTGGGGATCCCATGACTTGGGGGTCCTCAGTGGGGCATCCCCAAATGGGGGTGTGTGGGGGTCGCCACGACTTCCCCCCCATACCTGAGACCCCAAATTTAACCCTCCTTCCCCTCCCCTCCTCCCACAGGTCCCATCCGGCCCTTTGGGGCCCCCACTCACCCCCTGGGCTGCCCCTGCCCGGGGGTCCCTCGCGGGGTCCCGGTGGCCGGGGGGGGGGTCCCGGGGGGCTCCGAGCTCTTCTCGTGCCCCGTTTGCCACAAGAGCTTCGGGTTCCAGCGGATGCTGAACCGGCACCTCAAGTGCCACAGCGAGGTCAAGAGGCACCGGTGCCCCTACTGCGGGAAGGGCTTCAACGACACCTTCGACCTCAAGCGCCACGTCCGCACCCACACCGGTCAGTGGGGACCGGGAACAGGGCGGGAACGGGCTGGGAGTGGGCTGGGAATGGGATTGGGAATGGGAACTGGGGGGTAATGGGGCGGGAAGGGCTTCAGCGGCACCTTCGACCTCCAGCGGTCAGTGGGAACTGGGGCGGGAATGAGGTGGGAATGAGCCGGGAATGGGGCAGGAACGAGGTGAGAACGGGGTGGGAATGGGACCCAAAGCCCCCTCGAGCCCTGTTTTCCCCTAAGCTTGTGGCCCTACCAGTGCTCCCTGTGAGAGAAGGCCCCTCAGTCCCTGATGTCCCCTCAATCCCTGATGTCCCCTCAGTCCCTGATGTCCCCTCAATCCCTGACCCCCCCATGTCCCTCCATGTCCCCTCAGTCCCTGATGTCCCCTCAGTCCCTGATGTCCCCAATGTCCCCTGTCCAGGTGTCGTCCCTACAAGTGCTCTCTGTGTGACAAGGCCCCCAATCTCTGATTGTCCCCTCAGTCCCTGATGTCCCCCCTGTCCAGGTGTCCGCCCCTACAAGTGCTCCCTGTGTGACAAGGCCCCCAATCCCTGACCCCCTCATGTCCCCAATGTCCCCCCTGTCCAGGAGTCTGTCCCTACAAGTGCTCTCTGTGTGACAAGGTCCCCCAGTCTCTGATTGTCCCCTCAGTTCCTGATGTCCCCTGATGCCCCCCTAGGTGTCCGTCCCTACAAGTGCTCCCTGTGTGACAAGGCCCCCCAATCCCTGATGTCCCCAATGTCCCCCCAATCCCTGATGTCCCCCATGTCCTCAATGTCCCCCCTGTCCAGGAGTCCGTCCCTACAAGTGCTCCCTGTGTGACAAGGACCCCAATCTCTGATGTCCCCAATGTCCCCCATGTCCCCCCTGTCCAGGTGTCCGCCCCTACAAGTGCTCCCTGTGTGACAAGGCCCCCAATCCCTGATGTCCCCAATGTCCCCTCAGTCCCTGATGTCCCCAATGTCCCCCCAATCTCTGACCCTCCCATGTCCCCCCTGTCCAGGTGTGCGTCCCTACAAGTGCTCCCTGTGTGACAAGGCCCCTCCATACCTGACCCCCCCATGTCCCCAATGTCCCCTCCCCCAGGTGTCTGTCCCTACAAGTGCTCTCTGTGTGACAAGGCCCCTCAGTCCCTGATGTCCCCAATGTCCCCTCAGTCCCTGATGTCCCCAATGTCCCCTCCCCCAGGTGTGCGTCCCTACAAGTGCTCCCTGTGTGACAAGGTCCCCCAGTCTCTGATTGTCCCCTCAGTCCCTGATGTCCCCTGATGTCCCCCCTGTCCAGGAGTCCGTCCCTACAAGTGCTCCCTGTGTGACAAGGCCCCTCAGTCCCTGATGTCCCCGATGTCCCCCATGTCCAGGAGTCCGTCCCTACAAGTGCTCGCTGTGTGACAAGGCCCCAATCTCTGATGTCCCCATGTCCCCAATGTCCCTGACCCCCCCATGTCCCCCCTGTCCAGGAGTCCGTCCCTACAAGTGCTCCCTGTGTGACAAGGCCCCCAATCCCTGACCCCTCCATGTCCCCCCTGTCCAGGTGTGCGTCCCTACAAGTGCTCTCTGTGTGACAAGGCCCCTCAGTCCCTGATGTCCCCAACGTCCCCTCAGTCCCTGATGTCCCCAACGTCCCCTCAGTCCCTGATGTCCCCAATGTCCCCCCAATCTCTGATGTCCCCAATGTCCCCCCAATCTCTGATGTCCCCCATGTCCCCCCTGTCCAGGAGTCCGTCCCTACAAGTGCTCCCTGTGTGACAAGGTCCCCCAGTCTCTGATTGTCCCCTCAGTCCCTGATGTCCCCTGATGTCCCCCCTGTCCAGGAGTCCGTCCCTACAAGTGCTCCCTGTGTGACAAGGCCCCTCAGTCCCTGATGTCCCCAATGTCCCCTCAATCTCTGATGTCCCTGATGTCCCCCCTGTCCAGGTGTGCGTCCCTACAAGTGCTCGCTGTGTGACAAGGCGTTCACGCAGCGCTGCTCGCTGGAGTCTCACCTGCGGAAGATCCACGGCGTGGCTCAGCGCTACGCCTACAAGGAGCGGCGCGCCAAGCTCTACGTGTGCGAGGAGTGCGGGGGCACGGCCGACAGCCAGGACGCCCACCTGGCCCACCTGCGCCAGCGCCACCCCCACAGCCCCCTGCTCGCCAAGCTGGCCCGCAAGGCCGGCCCCGCCCCCCGCGCTGCCCCACTCCTGCGCCGGGCCCCGGCCCCACCCAGGATGCCCTGCCCCCATGAGGGACCCCACCCTGGGGTGGGGATGGGGATGGGGAAGACCCCGGGTGGGGGATGGGGAGACCCCCGGGGTGGGGGGTGTGAGAGGGCGTGGTCTGAGGTGGCGCCTGCTCAGGGACACGCCCACTTTGGCACAGGGACACGCCCACTTTGGTAACAGGGACACGCCCACTTTGGGTGGAGGCCACACCCGCTTGAGGGACACGCCCTTGTTAGGACAGGGACACACCCACTTGTGGGGAGGCCACACCCACTCGAGGGGCACACCCACTTTGGGTGGAAGCCACACCCCCTGAGGGACACGCCCAGTTGGGCAGGGACACACCCACTTGTGTGGAGGTCATGCCCACTCGAGGGACACGCCCCTGTCAGGACAGGGACACGCCCACCTGGGTGGAGGTCACGGACCTATCAGGAGTGGGACATGCCCCCACTAGGACAGGGCCACGCCTCTTTCCAGGCCACGCCCTGTCTTGGACCCCCCTCATTGGTGAAGCCCTGGCCACGCCCTCTTCAGCCCCACCCACCCCGCCCCCCAAACAGACCCCACCCACAGAAGCCCCACCCACTGCTTTGCCACACCCACTGCTCTGGGCCCGCCCCTCGGGCTCAGACCACGCCCACCACAACACAGGCCCCGCCCCTCAGTCTCAGACCACGCCCCTCCATAAAGCTCCTGTGAAACACCTGTGGGCAGAGCTTCTCTTTGGGGTCACCTGGGGGTCACCTGGGGGTCACTGGGCAGGGTCACCCGGGGTTCCCCCCTGCCCCTCCCCCACAGCCACGTGTTCCGTTAGTCCAGTTTTTATTGCCCGGGACCCCCCGGGAATGGGGGGTGGGGGAAGGGGTGGGGAGGGGCTCCCTCGCCCCTCCCCTCCAGTTTGCTCCACACAGGAAAGGGGGGGCAGGTGAGACCCCTCCCTCTCCCCAAAATCCAGTTCAAAGCCCCACTTTGGTCACAGGCTCTGCCCCATCCCCTCCCCCACCCCGGGGGCGTTTGGCAGCAGCGGGGAGGGGTGAGGGGCGGCCACACCCACCAGACCCCTCCCCAAAATCCTCCGGACCCCCCTAAGGCAGCTTGGCAGGGATGGGGGGGAGCGGGAGGGCCCCCCCAAAGTGCGAGTGGGGTCCCAAAAATGGGGGGGTTTGGGGAGCAAAAATGGGCGGGAAGCTGAAGTGGGCGGGGCCGAAGTGGGCAGGGCCTGCAGGAAGGGAAGCCCCTCCCCCAAAAGGGGTGACCCCCCCCTCCAAGAGATTTGACCTCTCTCAAATATGGGGGACACCCCAAAAAAAAAGGGGGGGCCCCAATCAATGGCTGCCCCCTCAAATGGGTGGAACCCCAAAAGGGGCCCCTTAAGGGCAGGACCCCCGAAAAATGGGGTTTCCCCCCAAAAAAATCGGGACCCCCCTTCACGGGGCACCCTCCTAATTAAGCCCCGACCCCCTAATTAAGACACGACCCTCTCAATCACGGGGTGACCCTCCCAAATTAAGGCCTGACCCCCCTTCTTGTCGTACCGCCTTTCCCGCCAGAGGCGCCCCTCTCCCCTCGGGCTCTTAAAGGGCCGCGCCCATTTTCTGGAGGGCATCTCGAGTTGGGGGTGTGTGTTTTTTTGGGGTGGGGGCGGGTTTTTGGGGGTCGGGGGTGTCCCGAAGCCCCCCCCATCAATCTCTCTACTCGATCTCGGCGATGAGGTCGTCGCCCTCCAGGCTGAGGCCGGGCCGGACGTGGAGCCGCCTGACGGTGCCGCCCAGGGGGGCCGTGACCACCGTCTCCATCTTCATGGCCGACAGCACGCACAGGGGGTCCCCCTTGGCCACCGTGGCCCCCTCCTTGACCCGCACCTCCACCACCTCCCCCGGCATCGGGGCCCCCACCTGCCCCTTGGCCCCCCGCTCGGCCTTGGGGTGAATGTGCATCTCCTGGGGAGGGAGGGGAGAGAGGAAATGGGGGTGAGGGGTGCCTGGGGGTCAGCCAGGACCACCCTGGGACCCCCAGATCAGTCTGTGACCCCCAGATCAGTCTGTGACCCCCAGATCACCCTGTGCCCCCCTGGACCACCCTGTGCCCCCTCAGGACCACCCCTGTGACCCCCAGATCACTCTGTGACCCCCAGATCAGTCTGGGACCCCCAGACCACCCTGTGACCTACCAGATCATCCTGTGCCCCCCTAGATCACCCTGTGACCCCCTGGAGCACCTTGTGACCCCCAGATCACCCTGTGCCCCCAGATCACCCTGTGACCCCCAGGACCACCTTGTGCCCCCTAGGACCACCTTGTGACCCCCAGATCACCCTGTGCCCCCAGATCACCCTGTGCCCCCCAGGACCACCCTGTGACTCCCCAGATCACCCTGCAGCCCCTCTGACCACCCTGTGCCCCCTGGACCACCCCCTGTGCCCCCAACCCACCCCGTGTCCCCCCAGTTGCCCTCTTGCACAAAAGACAAGGCCCAGTTGTCCATCAAGACCTGACTCGAGCCCCTCCATCGCCCCCTAAACCCCCCAAAATCCCCTAAACCCCCCGAACTCTCCTCAAATCCCCTAAACCCTCCCAAGCCCCCCACCTTGCGTGCCTGGGTATCCCTGACGAGGATGGAGCCCCTCGAGAGCCAACCCAAACCCTCCATCGCCCCCAAATCCCTCCCAGTGCCCCAAACCCTTCCAAAGCCCCCAAAGTCCCTCCAAACTCCCCCAAACTCCCTCAAATCCCCCCAGACCCCCACCTTGAGTGCCTGGGTGTCCCTGACGAGGATGGAGCCCTTGAGAGCCAACCCAAACCCTCTATCAACCCCCCAAACCCTCCCAGCACCCCAAACCCCCAAATACCCCCAAAATCCCCCCAAGACCCCCACCTTGAGTGCCTGGGTGTCCCTGACGAGGATGGAGCCCCTCGAGACCCAACCCAAACCCCTCCATCACCCCCCAAACCCTTCCCAGCGCCCCAAACCCCCCAAATCCCCTCAAAGTCCCCCAAACACCCCCAAAATCCCCCCAGACCCCCCACCTTGAGTGCCTCGGTGTCCCTGACGAGGACGGAGCCCTCGAGACCCAACCCAACCCTCCATCAACCCTCTTAACCCCTCCCAGCGCCCCAACCCCCCAAATACCCCCAAAATTCCCCCAGACCCCCACCTTGAGTGCCTGGTATCCCTGACGAGGATGGAGCCCCTCGAGACCCAACCCAACCCCCTCCATCAACCCCCTAAACCCCTCCCAGCGCCCCAAACCCTCCCAAATTCCCCACAAAGTCCCCCAAACACCCCTCAAAATCCCCCAGACCCCCACCTTGAGTGCCTGGGTGTCCCTGACGAGGATGGAGCCCCTCGAGAGCCAACCCAACCTCCTCCATCACCCCCCAAACCCCTCCAAGCGCCTCAAACCCCCACAAAACCCCCAACTCCCCAAACACCCCCCAAAATCCCCCCAGACCCCCACCTTGAGTGCCTGGGTGTCCCTGACGAGGACGGAGCCCTCGAGACCCAACCCAACCCCTCCATCAACCCCTAAACCCCTCCCAGTGCCCCAAACCCCCAAAGCCCCCCAAACACCCCCTTGAAATCCCCCAAACCCCCACCTTGAGTGCCTGGGTGTCCCTGACGAGGATGGAGCCCTCGAGACCCAACCCAAACCCCTCCATCAACCCCCTAAACCCCTCCCAGCACCCCAAACCCCCAAAGTGCCCCAAACACCCTCAAATCCCCCAGACCCCCACCTTGAGTGCCTGGGTGTCCCTGACGAGGATGGAGCCCTCGAGAGCCAACCCAAACCCCTCCATCAACCCCCTAAACCCTCCCAGCACCCCAAACCCCCCAAAGTGCCCCCAAACACCTCTCAAATCCCCCCAGCCCCCACCTTGAGTGCCTGGGTGTCCCTGACGAGGATGGAGCGCAGCTGCCCGTTGAGCTCGAAGAACACCTCTCGCTGCCCGGCCGCGTTGAGGTCCCCGAGCGCCAGGGCCTTGATGTGCAGCGTCTTCCCCCGCTCCAGCTCCACCTGGGGGGGCCCAGGGGGGAGAAAAAAGGGGGGATGGGACGGGGTGAGGACAGGACAGGAGACCCAGTGCCACCCAGTGCCTTCCCAGTGCCCTCCCAGTGCCCCCAGTGACCTCGAACTCCTCGGCAATGGTGGGCCCCTTGAGGAAGAGGCGGGTGCTGAGATCCCCCAATGCCCTCCCAATGCCCTCCCAGTGCTCCCAGTGCCCCCAATGCCCTCCCAGTGCCCTCCCAGCGCCCCCAGTGACCTCGAACTCCTCGGCAATGGTGGGCCCCTCGAGGAAGAGGCGGGTGCTGAGACCCCCCAATGCCCTCCCAGTCCCTCCCAGTGCCCCCCAATGCCCTCCCAGTGCTCCCAGTGCCCCCAGTGACCTCAAACTCCTCAGCAATGGTGGGCCCCTCGAGGAAGAGGGGGGTGCTGAGACCCCCCAGTGCCCTCCCAATGCCCTCCCAGTGCTCCCAGTCCCTCCCAGTGCCCCCAGTGACCTCGAACTCCTCGGCAATGGTGGGCCCCTCGAGGAAGAGGAGGGTGCTGAAATCCCCCCAGTGCCCTCCCAGTGCACTCCCAACCTCTCCCAGTGCCCTTCCAGTGCTCCCAGCGCCCCCAGTGACCTCGAACTCCTCGGCAATGGTGGGCCCCTCGAGGAAGAGGCGGGTGCCCAGGCAGGCCACGGGCCCGAAGGTGGCGGTGAAGGCTCGGAACTCGTCGTACACTTTAGGGTACAGGGCGGCCGAGAGCAGCTCCTCGGGGCTGGGGGGGGCCCCGTGACGCGCCCCCAGCTCCCGCCCCAGCGCCTCGAAGTCCAGGGGGGGCAGCGACGCCCCCGGGCGACCCTCGACCCGCGGCAGGTCCTTCAGCACCTGGGGGGGGCGAGGGGGGGAAGGTGAGAGCTCCCAGTACGGACCGGTATGGACCAGTGCCCTCCCAGTATGGACCAGTGTGCTCCCAAAGCCCTCCCAATATGGCCCAGTGCGCTTCCAGTATGGATCAGTGTGCTCCCACTGCGCTCCCAGTATGGCCCGGTGCGCTCCCAGTATGGACCAGTGCGCTCCCACAGCCCTCCCAGTATGGCCCAGTGCCCTCCCAGTATGGCCTAGTGCGCTCCCACAGCCCTCCCAGTATTGTCCAGTGCGCTCCCAGTATGGCCCAGTGCGCTCCCAGTATGGCCCAGTGCGCTCCCAGTATGGACCAGTGTGCTCCCACAGCCCCCCCAGTATTGCCCAGTGCACTCCCAGTATGGCCCAGTGCGCTCCCAGTATGGCCTAGTGTGCTCCCACAGCCCTCCCAGTATGGCCCAGTGCGCTCCTAGTATGGACCAGTGCCCTCCCAGTATGGACCAATGCCCTCCCAGTACGGACCAGTGTGCCCCCGGTGTGGCCCAGTGTGCTCCCAGTATGGCCCAGAGTGCTCCCAGAGTGCTTCCATTGCCTTCCCAGTATGGCCCAGTGAACTCCCAGTATGGCCCAGTGCCCTCTCAGTGCCCTCTCAGTATGGCCCAATGCCCTCCCAGTGCCCTCCCAGTATGGCTCAGAGCCCTCCATCACCTCCCAGTCTTCTCCATCCCCCTCCCAGTGCCCTCCCAGTATGGCCCAGTGCCCTCCATCACCTCCCAGTCTTCCCCATCCCCCTCCCAGTGCCCTCCCAGTATTGCCTAGTGCCCTCCCAGTGCTCCCCAGTGTCCTTCCATCATCTCCCAGTCTCCTCCCAGCGTCACCTCGTCCCTCCCACTCCCCTCCCAGTCCCCCCAGTCCCCCCAGCCCTCCCAGTCCCCCGCAGCCCCCCGACCTTGGAGCGGAAGGGCTCGGGGAAGCCCTCCGGGGGGACCCCAATGTGTCCCTGCAGGAACTCCACGACGGAGGAGGGGAAGGAGAGCTCGTCCGCCCTCGCCTCGGTGTCCTGGCGGGACAGCCCGTTCTGCACCATGAACTGCGCCAGGTCCCCGACCACCTTCGACGACGGCGTCACCTGCGGGGCCACCACAGCGGGGTCACCACAGCGGGGTCACCACAGCGGGGTCAGCTGGGCCCCCCCAGTGGGGATCGTCCCGGGGGGAACATCCCATAGAAACCATCCTGTGGGGACCATCCCATAGAGACCATCCCATGGGGACCATCCCATGGGGACCATCCCATAGGGACCATCCTGTGGGGACCATCCCATAGAGACCATCCCATGGAAAACATCCCATAGGGACCATCCTGTGGGGACCATCCCATGGAGACCATCCCATGGAAAACATCCCATAGAAACCATCCCATAGACACCATCCCATGGAAAACATCCCATGGAAAACATTCCATAGAGACCATCCCGTAGAGACCATCCCATGGGGACCATCCTATGGAAAACATTCCATAGGGACCAAACCATAGAGACCATCCCATGGAAAACATCCCATGGAAAACATTCCATAGGGACCATCCCATAGGGACCATCCCATGGGGACCATCCCATAGAGACCATCCCATGGAAAACATCCCATAGAGACCATCCCATGGGGACCAACCCATAGAGACCAGCCCATGGGGACCATCCCATGAGGACCAACCCATAAAGACCATCCCATAGAGACCATCCTATGGACACCATCCCATAGGGACCATCCCGTGTGAACCATCCCCATGGAGACCACCTATCCCACAGAGACCACCCACCCCGTGGACACCACCCACCCCACGGAGACCACCCCACGGACACCACCCCACAGAGACACCCCCCACCCCACAACCACCCCCACACCCCTTTCCCCCCTTTCCCCCATCCCACCTTGATGAGGTCCCCCAGCAGCTTGTTGGCCTCAGCGTAGGCCTTCTTGACCTCCTTGAACTTGTGGCCCAGCCCCATGGCGTGGGCCTGGAAGTGCAGGTTGGTGTACTGGCCCCCCGGGATCTCGTTCTCGTACACGTCGGCGTTGCCCGACTTCATGGTGGCCGTGCAGTCGAAGGCGGCGTAGAGACCCCGCGCCCCCTCCCAGTACTCGCTGTACTCGAACACTCGCTCCAGGGACAGCCCTGGGGGGTACACAGCACAGGGACAATGTGGGGACAATGAGGTGACACCACAGGGACAATGTGGGGACAATGAGGGGACAATGAGGGGACACAGCAGAGACCCCGCGCCCCCTCCCAGTACTCGCCGTACTCGAACACGCGCTCAGGGACAGCCCTGGGGGGGGACAGCATGGGGACAACATGGGGACAATGAGGGGACAGTGAGGGGGCAGTGTGGGGACACAGTAGAGACACGGTGGGGACACGGCAGGGACACAGCAGAGACCCCGCACCCCCTCCCAGTACTCGCTGTACTCGAACACGCGCTCCAGGGACAGCCCTGAGGGGGGGGACATCGGCGTCCCCTCCAGCCCTCGGTGTCCCCTCTAACCCCTCGGTGTCCCCTCAATCCCCTGCTGTCCCCTCTAACCCCCCATTGCCCTCTCTATGACCAAGTTGCCACCTGCAAGCCCTCGGTGTCCCCTCCAACCCCTTGATGTCCCCTCCAACCCTCGGTGTCCCCTCCACCCCCCCGTTGTCCCCGTACCGGTGTCCAGGGGTGTCCCCCGGGCGCAGGCCACCAGTGCCCCCATGCTGGGCTGGGAGGTCATGCCGGACATGGCGTCCACGGCCACGTCCACCACGTCGGCGCCGGCCTGGGCGGCCGCCAGCATGGAGGCCACGCCGGCGCCCGCCGTGTCGTGGGTGTGCACGTGCAGGGGCACCTCGGGGTGCTGCTCCCGCAGGGCCCCCACCAGCAGCCGCGCGGCCTCGGGGGTCAGCAGCCCGGCCATGTCCTGGGGGGGCACAAGTAGGGGTCACGGGGGTCAGGGGGACACTCAGTGTCACATCCCATCCCTCCCCGGTGTCACCAGCCCGGCCAGGTCCTGGGGGGGTGACAGAGGGTTCAGGGGGGGGTCACAGTGTCACATCCCACCCTCCCTGGGGTCAGCAGCCCGGCCATGTCCTGGGGGGGTCACAGGAGGTTCAGGGGGGTCACGGGGGTTAGCAGGGGTCACAGGGACCCTCAGTGTCACATCCCACCTCCCCCAGGGTCAGCAGCCCGGCCATGTCCTGGGGGGGTGACAGAGGGGGGTCAGGGGGACACTCAGTGTCACATCCCACCCACCCCAGGGTCAGCAGCCTGGCCATGTCCTGGGGGGGCACACAGGGGGGTCAGGGGGGTCAGGGGGACACTCAGTGTCACATCCCACCCTCCCTGGGGTCAGCACCCAGCCATGTCCTGGGGGGACACACAGGGGGTCACGGGGGGTCACAGGGGTCAGAGGAGTCACAGGGTTTATGGGGGTCACAAGAAGGTCCTGGGGGTCACAGGGGATCCCGGCAGTCGTGACGACCCAGCCCCCGATGCAGAGCCACGAGTTCCAGGGCCAGCCCCATCCCATCCTCCCAGATCCCCCTTCCCACACCCTCAAACCCCCTCCCACCCCCTCAAATCCCCCCAAACCCCTCTCCCACCCCCAAAACCCCCTAAACCCCCACCTTGATGCAGAGCACGTGTGTCCCCGCCGCCACGAGCTCCCGGGCCACCCCCAGGTAGTACTGGAGGCCGTACTTGGTGCGGGTGGGGTCGGCCACGTCCCCCGTGTAGGACAGGGCGGCCTCCACCACGGCCCCCGCGTTCCCCGCCGCCTCCACGCCCAGCAGCAGGTTGGGGATGTAGTTGAGGGCGTCAAACACCCGGAAAATGTCCATCCCGTTGGCCGCCGCCACCTCGCAGAACCTGGGGACGCACACGGGGACGGCGCTCGGGGCGGCCCCCAGGGCGGGGGGGACACCCGTGGGGTGGCCCTGAGACCACCCCTGTGGTGTCCCTTTTGGGGTCGCTTTGTGCTCTCAGGTTCTTGTGACCCCCTATCCCACCGTGTTCTCCACGTCCCAAATGTCCCCGTGTCCCTTTTGGGGTCGCTTTGTGACCTCCAGGTCCTCGTGACCCCCCCGTTCCCATCGTGTTCTCCACGTCCCAAATGTCCCTGTGTCCCTTTTGGGGTCGCTTTGTGGTCCTCCAGGTTCTTATGACCCACCCCCAGTCCCATCGTGTTCTCCACGTCCCAAATGTCCCTGTGTCCTTCGTGTCCCCCCACGCCCCCTGTCCACCATATCTCACTTGTGGACTACGTTGTCGGGGTAGTTGGTGTACCCCATGTCCCCTCCCTGTCCCCCCCATGTCCCCTGTCCCCTGTCGCACTTGTGGACGACGTTGTCGGGGTAGTTGGTGTACCCCATGTCCCCCCCATGTCCCCCCCATGTCCCCCCATGTCCCCCCCATGTCCCCATGTCCCCCATGTCCCCATGTCCCTCCCATGTCCCCCCATGTCCCCCATGTCCCCTGTCCCACTTGTGGACGCACGTTGTCGGGGTAGTTGGTGTACCCCATGTCCCCCCATGTCCCCCATGTCCCCCCTTGTCCCACTTGTCGACTGGACCATGTCCCCCATGTCCCCATGTCCCCATGTCCCGCCCTGTCCCAGTCTGCGTGTACCCCATGTCCCCCCATGTGCCCCCCCTGTCCCCCATGTCCCCTGTCCCACTCTGTGGACCACGTTGTTGGGGTAGTTGGTGTACCCTATCTCCCCCCCTGTCCCCCCATGTGCCCCCCGTCCCCTGTCCCACTTGTGGACCACGTTGTCGGGGTAGTTGGTGTAGCCCACGGCGTTGGCCCCGCGCAGCAGCATCTGGAAGGGGATGTTGGGGACGAGGCGCCGCAGCTCCCGCAGCCGCTCCCAGGGGCACTCGTGCAGGAACCTCATGGCCACGTCGAAGGTGGCGCCTGCGGGGACAGCGGGGACATGGGTGGCACTCACGGGTGGCACCCACGGGTGGCACCTGCGGGGATGGCCACGCCCACTCCCAGGTTGGGAGCCACACCCTAGTAAAGTTCCACCCCCAAAGCCACACCCTAGTAAAGCTCCACCCCCAAAGCCACACCCAGGAAAGCTCCACCCCAGAACCACACCCCAGGAAAGCTCCACCCCCAAAGCCACACCCAGGAAAGCTCCACCCCCAAAGCCACACCCTAGTGAAGCTCCACCCCCAAAGCCACACCTTAGTAAAGCTTCACCCCCAAAGCCACACCCAGTTAAAGCTCCACACCCAGGAAAGCTCCACCCACAAAACCACACCCAGTAAAGCTCCACCCCCAAAGCCACACCCAGTAAAGCTCCACCCTCAACCCCACACCCCAGGAAAGCTCCACCCCCAAAGCCACATCCAGTAAAGCTCCACCCCAGAACCACACCCAGTGAAGCTCCACCCCAGAACCACACCCAGTGAAGCTCCACCCCCAAAGCCGCACCCCAGTAAAGCTCCACCCCAGAACCACACCCCAGGAAAGCTCCACCCCCAAAGCCACACCCCAGGAAAGCTCCACCCCCAAAGCCACACCCAGTAAAGCTCCACCCCAGAACCACACCCAAGGCCACACCCTAGTAAAGCTCCACCCCCAAAGCCACACCCCAGTAAAGTTCCACCTCAAAACCACACCCAGTGAAACTCCACCACCAAAGCCACACCCAAGGCCACACCCCAGTAAAGCTCCAGCCCAGAACCACACTCCAGGAAACTCCACCCCCAAACCCACTCCCAAACCCACCCCCCAGTAAAGGTGTGCCCCCAAAGCCACACCCCAGTGAAGCTCCACCGCCAAAGCCCCACCCCAGTAAAGCTCCACCCCCAAAAACACCACCCATACCCACCCCCAGTAAAGTGTGCCCCCAAACCACACCCAGGAAAGCTCCACCCCCAAAGCCACACCCAGTTAAAGCTCCACCCCCAATGCCACACCCAGTAAAGCTTCGCCCCCAAAACCACACCCAAACCCCCACCCAGTAAAGCTCCACCCCCAGAACCACACCCAGTAAAGCTCCATCCCCAAACCTCCACCCAGTAAAGCTCCACCCCCAGGAAAGCTCCACCCCCAAATCCACTTCCCCTTCCTCCCCGCTGACCTCCCCACGTCCCAAGGCTGCACAGGGGGCTCAGGTGGTGGGCCACGAAGGGGCGACGCGGGCGAGGTCTCGGGTGCGCACGCGCGTGGCCAGCAGGGACTGGTGGGCGTCTCGGAACGTGGTGTCCGTCAGCAGCAGCCCCCGGTGCCCCCGCAGCGCCCGCGCGAAGCCCCCCGGGCCCTCCCGCAACAGCACCGCCCGCAGGCCTCGGGGGCCTGCAACGATGGGGGGAAAGGAGGTGGTCAGGGAGGGCATGTGCCAGGGGACATGGGGACACGGGGGACATAGGGGGTGTCAGGGGAGGGCATGTGCCAGGGGGACACAGGGGACATGGGGGACATGGGGGTGTCAAGGGGTCTGGCATGTACCAGGGGACATGGGGAAACGGGGGTGTCAGGAGGGCATGTGCCAGGGGACACGGGGGTCAAGGGGTCTGGCATGTGCCAGGGGACACAGGGGACATGGGGGAATAGGGGGTGTCAGGGGTCTGGCATGTGCCAGGGGACACAGGGGACACGGGGTGGGGGTCTAGTAGGTGCTAGGGGACACAGGGGTGGCCCAGGGTCTGTACCTACAGGGGACATGGGGACACGGGGGGTCAGGGGTCTGGCATGTGCCAAGGGGACACAGGGGACACAGGGGACATGGAGGGGTGTCAGGGGTCTGGACATATGCCAGGGGACACAGGGGACATGGGGGACATAGGGGTGTCAGGGGTCTGGCATGTGCCAGGGGACACAGGGGACACAGGGGACATGGGGGGGTTGTCAGGAGTCTGGCACATGCCCAGGGGACACAGGGGACATAGGGGATCAGGGGGACATGCCCGGGGACATGGGGGATGCAGGATGGAGCCAGGCGTGGCACACACAGAGGGGAGGTGACGCGGGTGTCACAGGGGTGCCACGTGCAGGTCAGGGGACATGTGGGGGTGGTCAAGGGGTGGCACACACAGAGGGGAGGTGACACTGGGGGGGTCACGGGGGGCCTGGTAGATGCCCAGATGGCACGTCACGCACACGCCAAGCACACGCCACGTCACGCCAAGCACGCGACGGGCACAGGCTGGGACCTGCCCGTTCCACACGCCAAGGACACGCCAAGGACATGCCAAGGACACACACAGGACATACCAGGGACAAAGCACAGACGTGCCAAGGACATGCCAAGGACATGCCAAGGACACGCCAAGGACATGCCAAGGACACGCCAAGAACACACAGGGCATACCAGGGACAAAGCACAGACGTGCCAAGGACATGCCAAGGACACGCCAAGGACATGCCAAGGACATGCCAAGCCCCCCCACTCACCCATGGGCACTGGGGGAGGGGTGGGTTCCATCAGCGCCGCCTTGGCCTTCACGGGCAGGGGGGTGCTGGGCCCATTCACCATCACGTGACCTGGGGGGGACACCCCAAAATCACCCCCAGGGCTCCCCAAAATCACTCTTAGAGGTCCCCTAAGGGTTTCCCAAAATTACCCTCAGAGCCCCCCCAGGGACCCCCAAAATCCCCCTTAGAGCCCCCCAGGGACCTCCAAAATCACCCTCAGAGCCCCCACAGGGTTCCCCTAAAATCACCCTCAGAGCTCCCCAGGGACCCCGGTCCCCCCAAAATCCGGCCCTGCCCTGGTCCCCCCAAGGGCCCCCGGCCCCCAAGGACCTCTGGTCCCCCTAAGGGTCCCCAGCCCACTCAAGGACCCCTGGTCCCCCAAGCCCCCAGGTCCCCCAGCCCCCCACCCAGGTAGTGCAGCAGTTTCTGGGTGCAGTTCTGCCCCCAATGCCCCCAGGGACCCCCAGGCCCCCACCCGGTAGTGCAGCAGTTTCTGGGTGCAGTTCTGCCCCCCAGTGCCCCCAGCCCCTCCACCCAGGTAGTGCAGCAGTTTCTGGGTGCAGTTCTGCCCCCAAGGCCCCCAGTCACCCCCAGGGACCCCCACCCAGGTAGTGCAGCAGTTTCTGGGCGCGGTTCTGCCTCCAAGGACCCCCAGGATCCCCCAGCCCCCGGGGACCCCACCCAGGTAGTGCAGCAGTTTCTGGGTGCAGTTCTGCCCCCAGCATCCCCCAGGCCCCCACCCAGGTAGTTCAGCAGTTTCTGGGTGCAGTTCTGCCCCCAAGGACCCCCAAAGCCCCCAGCCCCCCAGGGACCCCCCACCCAGGTAGTGCAGCAGTTTCTGGGTGCAGTTCTGCCCCCAAGGACCCCCAAAGCCCCCAGCCCCCCCACCCAGGTAGTGCAGCAGTTTCTGGGTGCAGTTCTGCCCCCAAGGCCCCCAGCCCCCAGGGACCCCCACCCAGGTAGTGCAGCAATTTCAGGGTGCAGTTCTGCCCCCCAAGGACCCTCAAGGCCCCCCACCCAGGTAGTGCAGCAGTTTCTGGGTGCAGTTCTGCCCCCAAGGCCCCCTAAGGACCCCCAGCCCCCCAGGGACCCCCACCCAGGTAGTGCAGCAGTTTCTGGGTGCAGTTCTGCCCCCAGTGCCCCCCAGCCCCTCCACCCAGGTAGTGCAGCAGTTTCTGGGTGCGGTTCTGCCCCCAAGGCCCCCAGTCACCCCCCCAGGGACCCCCACCCAGGTAGTGCAGCAGTTTCTGGGCGGGTTCTGCCCCCAAGGACCCCAAGGACCCCCAGCCCCCAGGGACCCCCCACCCAGGTAGTGCAGCAGTTTCTGGGTGCAGTTCTGCCCCCAGCGCCCCAGGGACCCCCCACCCAGGTAGTGCAGCAGTTTCTGGGTGCGATTTTGGCCCCAGTCCCCCAGTGACCCCCAGGGACCCCCACCCAGGTAGTGCAGCAGTTTCTGGGTGCAGTTCTGCCCCCAGCGCCCCCAGCCCCCCCAGGGACCCCCACCCAGGTAGTGCAGCAGTTTCTGGGTGCAGTTCTGCTCCCCAGCCCCCAGGACCCCACCCAGGTAGTGCAGCAGTTTCTGGGCGCGGTTCTGCCCGGGCGCAGGTGGAACAGTTCGGGGTTCTCGTCGATGGATTGGGTGTCGGCCTCGCCCCCCAAAAACTGGGGGTGGGCCAGGACGTTCTGCAGGAACGGGATGTTCGTCTGGGGGAGGGGGAGAGAGAGAAGGGGGGACAGAGGGAGTGAGGAGGGGCTCGGAGAGACCCCCAGGGGGCAAAAGCAGCCCCAAATCCTTGGGGGTGGTACTTGGGGGCAACCAAGACCCCTCTCACCCCCCAAAATCTTTGGGTGGTAATAAAGTCCCCCAACCCCTCTCCCCAGCCCCCCAGGCCCACCTTGACCCCCTGATCCTGAACTCGGCCAGGGCCCGGCTCATCTTGGCGGCGGCCGCCGGCTGGTCCGGCCCGTGGGCCACGACTTTAACCAGCAAGGAGTCGTAGTGGGGCGAGATCAGGGCCCCCTGGAACGCCGAGGCCCCGTCCAGCCGGATCCCCATCCCCTCCCCTGAGCGGAACACCTGTGGAGACACCCCAAAAACCGTACAGAGACACCCCAAAAACCGTACAGAGACACCGCAAAAACCCTACAGAGACACCCTGAAAACTGTATAAAAAACCCTACAGAGACACCACAAAAACCCTACAGAGACGCCCCAAAAACCGTACAGTGACACCCTAAAAATCATACAGAGACACCCCAAAAACCGTACAGAGACATCCTAAAAACCCTAGAGAGACACCCCAAAAATCATACAGAGACACCCCAAAAAACGTACAAAGACACCCCAAAAACCCTACAGAAAAACCCTAGAAACCCTATAGAAACCCCTCAAAAAACCTTATAGACACACCCCAAAAACCCTTGTGGAAACACCCCAAAGAACCCTATAACGATACCCCAAAAAACCCTAACGAGACACCCTAAAAAACCCTAAAGAAACACCCCAGAAACCCTACACGCACATGCCAAAAAACCCTATAGAGGCAGCCCAGAACCCCTACAGATACCCTGTGGATGCATCTCTGGATGCTCCAAACACACAGCAGTTCCCAGTGGTGTCCCAGTGCCATCCCCATGGTGTCCCCATGTTGTCCCCACTGAGGAGGGTCCCAGCAGTGTCCCCATGGTGTCCCAGTGCCATCCCCTCAGGGTCCCAGTGCCATCCCCACGGTGTCCCAGTGTTGTCCCCATTGAGGAGGGTCCCAGCGTTGTCCCCATGGGGTCCCAGTGCCATCCCCTCAGGGTCCCAGTGCCATCCCCACGGTGTCCCAGTGCTGTCCCCACTGAGGAGGGTCCCAGCAGTGTCCCCCCGGTGTCCCAGTGCCACCTCCGCGGTGTCCCAGTGCTATCCCCGCGGTGTCCTAGTGCCATCCCCATGGTGTCCCAGTGCCATCCCCATGGTGTCCCAGTGTTGTCCCCACTGAGGGGGATTCCCAGCGGTGTCCCCGTGGGGTCCCAGTGGTGTCCCCACTGAGGGGGGTCCCAGCAGTGTCCCCTGTGGTGTCCCAGTGCCATCCCCATGGTGTCCCAGTGATGTCCCCACTGAGGAGGGTCCCAGTGCTGTCCCCCTGGTGTCCCAGTGCCATCCCCATGGTGTCCCAGTGTTGTCCCCGCGGTGTCCCAGTGCCATCCCCGCAGTGTCCCAGTGATGTCCCCACTGAGGAGGGTCCCAGCAGTGTCCCCCCGGTGTCCCAGCACTGTCCCCATGGTGTCCCAGTGCCATCCCCATGGTGTCCCAGTGTTGTCCCCACTGAGAAGGGTCCCAGCAGTGTCCCCCCGGTGTCCCAGCAGTGTCCCCATGGTGTCCCAGTGCCATCCCCATGGTGTCCCAGCACTGTCCCTGTGGTGTCCCAGTGCCATCCCCGTGGTGTCCCAGTGCTGTCCCCACTGAGGAGGGTCCCAGCAGTGTCCCCCCGGTGTCCCAGTGCCATCCCCATGGTGTCCCAGTGCCATCCCCATGATGTCCCCACTGAGGAGGGTCCCAGCAGTGTCCCCATGGTGTCCCAGTGCCATCCCCGCGGTGTCCCAGTGTTGTCCCCACTGAGGAGGGTCCCAGCACTGTCCCCCCAGTGTCCCAGCAGTGTCCCCATGGTGTCCCAGTGCCATCCCCGCGGTGTCCCAGTGTTGTCCCCACTGAGGAGGGTCCCAGCACTGTCCCCCCAGTGTCCCAGCAGTGTCCCCATGGTGTCCCAGTGCCATCCCCATGGTGTCCCAGTGTTGCCCCACTGAGGAGGGTCCCAGCAGTGTCCCCCCGGTGTCCCAGCAGTGTCCCCCCGGTGTCCCAGCAGTGTCCCCATGGTGTCCCAGTGCCATCCCCGCGGTGTCCCAGTGCCATCCCCCAGTGTCCCAGTGTTGCCCCACTGAGGAGGGTCCCAGCCCTGTCCCCTGTGGTGTCCCCGCTGTCCCCGCTGTCCCCGACCTCGATGCGCCCGGTGTCGGGCTGGAAGCCGCGCGCGGGGTCCTCGGTGGTGACGCGGCACTGGATGGCGCAGCCGTTGACTCGGATGTTCTCCTGGAGCAGCCCCAGCTCGGGCAGGGACCGGCCCGCGGCCACCTGGAGCTGGGCATGGACCAGGTCCACGCTGGGGGGGAAATTATGGGGTCAGGGGGGCATGGGGGGTACAGCCCCACAGTCACCTGGAGCTGGGCATGGACCAGGTCCACACTAGGGGGGAAATTATGGGGTCAGGGGGGATAATGGGGTCAGGGGGGACACAGGGGTCACAGCCCCACAGTCACCTGGAGCTGGGCATGGACCAGGTCCACGCTGGGGGGGAAATTATGGGGTCAGGGGGCATGGGGGACACAGGGGACACAGCCCCACAGTCACCTGGAGCTGGGCATGGACCAGGTCCACGCTGGGGGGAAATTATGGGGTCAGGGAGGATAATGGGGTCAGGGGGGCACAGGGGGTACCACCCCACAGCCACCTGGAGCTGGGCATGGAGCAGGTCCACGCTGGGGGGGAAATTATGGGGTCAGGGGGGACACAGGGGACATGGGACACAGCCCCACAGCCACCTGGAGCTGGGTGGGGACCAGGTCCACGCTGGGGGGGAAATTATGGGGTCAGGGGGGCACAGAGAGTACAGCCCCACAGTCACCTGGAGCTGGGTGTGGACCAGGTCCATGCTGGGGGGGCCAGGAGGGATACAGGGAGTTTGAGGTTTCCCTGGAGTTTCTGGGGTCCCCTCGGGAGTTTTTGGGGTCGCCCTGGGAGTTTTTAGGGTCCCTCTGGGTGTTTTTGGGGTCCCCCAGCCCTGACTCACTCGGTGATCTCCTCGGTGACCGTGTGCCCCACTTGGAGCCCCGAGTTGTTTTGTGTGTGTCCCCGGGAGTTCTGGGGTACCCCTGGGAGTTTTTGGGGTCCCCTCGGGTGTTTTTGGGGTCGCCCTGGGAGCTTTTGGGGTCCCCTCGGGTGTTTTCGGGGTCCCCTAGCCCCGACTCACTCAGTGATCTCCTCGGTGACCGTGTGCTCCACTTGGAGCCCCGAGTTGTTCTGTGTGTGTCCCTCGGGAGTTCTGGGGTACTCCCTGGGAGTTTTTGGGTCCCTCTGGGTGTTTTTGGGGTCCCTCTGGGTGCTTTTGGGGTCCCCCCGGGTGTTTTCGGGGTCCCCCAGCCCCGACTCACTCGGTGATCTCCTCGGTGACCGTGTGCTCCACCTGCAGCCTGGAGTTGACCTCGATGAAATAATAATCCCCGTTCTGGTCCACCAGGAACTCCACCGTGCCCGCGTTCTCGTAGCCCACCTGGGACCCCCAAAAAGTCCCACAGGTTAAGGGGGGTTCGTCTCCCCTGTGTGTCCCCCCCCATCCTGTGCCCCCCCAGCCCCCCGTTTTGGGGGTACCTGCCGGGCCAGGCGCACGGCGTCGTCGGCCAGGCGGGCGCGGAGCTCGGGGGGCAGCCGGGCGGCCGGGGCGATCTCCACCACCTTCTGGTGCCGCCCTGGACCGAGCAGTCCCGCTCATGCAGGTGCACCATGTTCCCGTGGGAGTCACCTGGGGGGGCAGGGAACCCCAAAAATGGACTCAGGAACCCCAAAAATGCTCATGGACACCACAAAAAGGGCCCTGGACACCCTGAAAATGGATCCAGGAACCCCAAAAATGGTCATGGACACCCCAAAAAGGGCCCTGGACGGAGCAGTCCCGCTCATGCAGGTGCACCATATTCCTGTGGGAGTCACCTGGGGGGGCAGGCACCCCGAAAATGGTCATGGACACCCCAAAAATGGATCCAGGAAGCCCAAAAAGGGCCCTGGATGGAGCAGTCCCGCTCATGCAGGTGCACCATGTTCCCGTGGGAGTCACCTGCAATCCCGAAAACAGATCCAGGAACCCCAAAATGGATCCAAGAACCTCCAGAAACGGATCCAGGAACCCCAAAAACAGATCCATGAAGCCCAAGACGGGACCCTGGATCCAGGAGCACCGAAAACGGATCCAGGAACCTCAAAAACAGTCACGGAAACCCCAAACACCAGACACGGGCACCCCAAATACGGTTCCAGGAACACCAAAACCAGACAAGGAACCCCAAAACCGGACATGGAGAGCCCAAAAACGGGTCCAGGGCCCCCAGGAAAGCTGCAGGACCCCCGAGGGGGGGTGCAGGACCCCCAGGGATGCCCCCCGGGCCGTACCCAGGATCTGGACCTCGATGTGGCGCGGGCGCTCGATGAACTTCTCCACGAACAGCTCCCCGTTCCCAAAGGCTGCCAAGGCCTCGGAGGAGGCGCGGGAGAAGCTCTCCTCCAGCTCCTGCGGGACCCCCACAGCTGGCACCCCAAATTCTGGCACCCTAAAACCCCCCAGGGTACCCCAAACCCCCAGGGTAACCCCAAACTTCCCCCGGGATAACCCCAAAATTCCCCCTGGGAAAACCCGGAAAACCTCCCGGGGTAACCCCAAAAACCTCCCAGGGTAACCCCAAAAACCCACTGGGATACCCCCAAAAACCTCCCAGGGTAACCCCAAAAACCCACTGGGATACCCCCCCAAACCCCCCAGGGTAACCCCAAAAACCTCCCAGGGTAACCCCAAACACCCACTGGGATACCCCCAAAAACCTCCCAGGGTAACCCCAAAAACCTCCCAGGCCCCCCCCACCCATGGGGTTACTCCAAATCTGGGGGTTTGGGGGTCCCAGGGATTTGGGCTCTCAAGGATTTAGGGTTCCCAGGGACTTGAGATTGCAGGGATTTGGGGTTGCAGAGATTTGGGTTTCCTGAGGATTTGGGCTCTCGGGGATTTGGGATTCCTGGGGATTTGGGGTCCCAGGAATTTGGAGCCCCAGGGATTTGGGATTCATGAGGATTTGGGTCCCAACAGTTTGGGTTTCCTGGGGATTTCGGGGTCCTGGGGATTTGGGTTTCCTGGGAATTTGGACTCCCAGGAGTTCAGAGTCCCAGGGATTTTGGATTCCTGGGGATTTGGGGTCTGGGAATTTGGGCTCCCAGGCACCTGAGTTCCTGGGGATTTGGGATTCCTGGGGATTTGGAACTGGCAGGGATTTGGAACTGGTAGGGATTTGGGTTCCCAGGGGTTTGGGCTCTCAAGAATTTAGGATTCCCAGAGACTTGGCGTTCCAGGGATTTGGGGTTGCAAGGATTTGGGGTTCCCGGGGATTTTGGGTCCCAGGAATTTGGGATTCCTGGGGAATTTGAGCTCCTGTGGCTTTGGGGTCCCCGTACCTGGGGGCCCCGGACCACCCTCATGCCACGGCCGCCGCCCCCGTGGGCGGCTTTGAAGATGATGGGAAAGCCCACCCGGGAGGCGAAATCCTGAGCCTCGGCCAGGGACGACACCGGGGACGGCGTCCCGGGGACCACAGGCACCCCTGGGGGGACAGAGGGGTCAGAGGACACCCCCAGGACACCCCCAAATCCCCCCCGGGACCACCGGCACCCCTGGGGGGACAGAGGGGTCAGAGGACACCCCCGGGACCCCCCAAACCCACACCATCACCCCCCTGGGACCACCGGCACCCTGGGAGTGCATGGCGGGGTCAGGGGACACCTCTAGGACCCCCAAATCCCCCCCGGGACCACCGGCACCCCTGAGGGGACAGAGGGGTCAGGGGGGTTTGGGGACACTCCCGGGACCCCCCCAAACCCACACTATCCCCACTGGGACCCCCAGAATCACCACAGACCCCCCCCCTCCCCAGGAACCCCAAATCCACACCATCCCCCTTGGGACCCCTGCAGGGACAGGGGAGTCAGGAGGGTCTTGGGGACTCCCCCCCCAAATCCCCCTCTAACCCCCCCAAATCCCCCTAACCCTCCCAAACCCCCTGTAACCCCCTCCAAATCTCCCTCTAACCCCCAAATCCTCCTGTAACCCCCAAATTCCCCTCTAACCCCCAAATCCCCCACCCAGGCCCACCACAGCGATGGCCCGAGCTTCCACTTTGTCCCCCTGTAACCCCCAAACCCCCTGTAACCCCCCAAATCCCCTCTAACCCCCAAATGCCCCCGGGCCCACCTGCGGCGATGGCGATGGCCCGAGCCTCCACTTTGTCCCCTTCTGACCCCCAAATCCCTGTAAACCCCCAAATGCCCCTCTAACCCCTCAAATCCCCCTCTAAGCCCCCAAATCCCCCTGTAACCCCTAAATCCCTCTAACCCCCAAATCCCCCAAACCCCAGTAAGGCCCCCAAATGCCCCCTCGGGCCCACCGGCGGCGATGGCGATGGCCCGAGCCTCCACTTTGTCCCCCTCTGACCCCCCAAATGCCCCTCTAACCCCCTAAATGCCCCTCTAACCCCCAAATGCCCCCCCCGGGCCCACCGGCGGCGATGGCGATGGCCCGAGCCTCCACTTTGTCCCCCATCTTGCGCACGACGTCGGGGGAGGGTCCCACGAAGCGAACCCCGGCGTCCACGCAGGCCTGGGCGAAGTCGGCCCGCTCCGACAGGAACCCGTACCCGGGGTGGATGGCATCGACCCCGTTCTCCTGGGGGGGGAAAGGGGGTCAGGAACACCCCCAGATCCCCCAAAACCCCCCAAACCCATCCCCGGGGTGGATGGCATCGACCCCGTTCTCCTGGGGGGGTTAATGGGGTCAGGAACACCCCCAGATACCCCAAAACCCCCCAAACCCATCCCCGGGGTGGATGGCATCGACCCCGTTCTCCTGGGGGGGTTAATGGGGTCAGGAACACTCCCAGATCCCCCAAAATCCCCCCAAAACCACCCCTGGGGTGGATGGCATCGACCCCGTTCTCCTGGGGGGGGAAATGGGGTCAGGAACATCCCCAGACCCCCCAAAATCCCCCCAAACCCATACCCAGGGTGGATGGCATCCACCCCGTTCTCCTGGGGGGTTAATGGGGTCAGGAACACCCCCAGATCCCCCAAACCCATCCATGGGGTGGATGGCATCCACCCCGTTCTCCTGGGGGGGAAAATGGGGTCAGGAACACCCCCAGATCCCCCAAAATCCCCCCAAAACCACCCCTGGGGTGGATGGCATCGATCCCATTCTCCTGGGGGGGAAAATGGGGGTCACCCTGATGATGTCAGGGATGTGCAGGTAGGGGGGTAGCCCCCTGCCCAGGTGTGCCCAGGTGTGCCCAGGTGTGTTTTACCCCCAGGTGTGCCCAGGTGTGCCCCCAGGTGTGTCCCACCCCCCAGGTACCTGTGCCACCCTGATGATGTCGGGGATGTGCAGGTAGGGGGGTAGCCCCCTGCCCACAGGTGTGCCCAGGTGTGCCCAGGTGTGTTTCATGCCCCCAGGTGTGTCCCCTCCCTCAGGATCTCAGGTGTGTCCCCAGGTGTGTCCCAGCCCCCCAGGTACCTGTGCCACCCTGATGATGTCGGGGATGTGCAGGTAGGGGGGCAGCCCCCTGCCCACAGGTGTGTCCCCAGGTGTGCCCAGGTGTGTTTTACCCCCCCCAGGTGTGTCCCAGGTGTGTCCCACCACCCCAGGTACCTGTGCCACCCTGATGATGTCGGGGATGTGCAGGTAGGCCTGCACGGGGGGCAGCCCCCTGCCCACCAGGTGTGTCCCAGGTGCGCCCAGGTGTGTTTTATTTCCCCAGGTGTGTCCCCAGGTGTGTCTCACCCCCCCAGGAGTGTGTGTGGTACCTGTGCCACCCTGATGATGTCGGGGATGTGCAGGTAGGCCTGCACGGGGGCAGCCCCCTGCCCACCAGGTAAGCCTCGTCCGCTTTCTGCCGGTGCATCTGCCCCGTGTCCTGCTCCGAGTACACGGCCACGGTGCGGATCCCCAGCTCGGTGCACGCCCGGAACACACGGATGGCGATCTCACCTGGGGGGGGACACACAGGACACTTTGGGGACATGGGGACACCTTGGGGACACCTTGGGGACAGCCCAGGGACAGCCTGGGGACAGCCTGTCCCACTGGGGACACAGCCACGGTGCGGATCCCCAGCTCGGTGCACGCCTGGAACACCCAGATGGCGATTTCACCTGGGGAGGACAGGACACTGGGGACATGGGGACACCCTGGGGACACCTTGGGGACACCTTGGGGACAGTCCAGGGGCAGCCTGGGGACAGCCTGGGGACAGCCTGTCCCACTGGGGACACGGCCAACATTGGGATCCCCAGCTCGGTGCACGCCCGGAACACCCGGATGGCGATTTCACCTGGGGAGGGGACACCCAGGGACACTTTGGGGACACCTTGGGGACAGCCTGGGGACAGCCCGAGGCACAGGGGACACCCTAAAGGGGAAGGGGACACGGCCAACATTGGGATCCCCAGCTCGGTGCACGCCTGGAACACCCAGATGGCGATTTCACCTGGAGGAGGACAGGACACTGGGGACATGGGGACACCCTGGGGACACCTTGGGGACACCTTGGGGACAGCCAAGGACAGCCTGTCCCACTGGGGACACGGTCAACATTGGGATCCCCAGCTCGGTGCACGCCCGGAACACACGGATGGTGATTTAACCTGGGGAGGGGACACACAGGGACACCTTGGGGACAGCCTGGGGACACCCTGGGGACACCTTGGGGACACCTTGGGGACAGCCTGGGGACAGTTTAGGGACAGTTTGGGGGCAGTTTGGGGACAGCCAGTGCTGTTGGGGACACCCCAAAGGGGGTCCTGCCCCTTTCCCGAGCTCCGGGCAGGCCCGGAACAGCCGGATGGTGATTTCAGCAGGGGGGGACATGGGGACAGCTTGGGGACAGTTTGGGGACACCTTGGGGACAGCCTGGGGACACCTTGGGGACACCCTGGGGACAGTTTGGGGACAGTTTGGGGACACTCTCCCACACCCAAAGGGGGTCCTGCCCCTTTCCTGAGCTCTGGGCAGGCCCGGAATAGCTGGATGGTGATTTCAGCAGGGAGGGACATGGGGACAGCCTGGGGACAGTTTGGGGACAGTTTGGGGGCAGTTTAGGGGCAGTTTGGGGACAGCTTGGGGACAGTTTGGAGACAGTTTGGGGACACCTTGGGGACAGTTTGGGGACAGTTTGGGGACACTCTCCCACACCCAAAGAGGACCCTGCCCCTTTCCCGAGCTCCAGGCGGGCCCGGAACAGCCGGACTCTGATCTGGCCTTGGGGACACGCAGGGACAAGGGAGGTCAGGGGCGGGGTCAGGGGGGTTTGGGGGGTTCATTGGGGAGTCAGGGGGTTTGGGGGTTCATTGGGGGTCAGGGGTGACACGGGGGTCGTGGGGGGTCATGGCCATCGACTCACCCCTGTTGGCCACCAGGACCTTGCGCAGGGGTTGGTAACTCAGGGCCCGGCTGGGCCCGGGGGGGCCCCGGAGCAGCCGCAGCCCCAGCAGGGCCCGGCCCCCCCCCCGGGGGAGGCACAGCTGGAACATCTGGGGGAGAAAACAGGAGGGGGGGTCAGGAGTCAGCAAAGACCCCACAAATTCCCCCAAACCCCCTCCCAGCACGGCCCACCCTGAACCTCCCAATCCCCTCAACCTTCCCCCCTCAAGAGCCCTCAAATCCCCCTCCAAAATCTCCCCCACCCCCAGCACAGCCCCAAAAAAGCAGCAGAAACTCCTCCCCCTCCCCACTGCTCACCTTTCCCCAATGACCTTTGACCCCCATCACCAAAAAAACATCACAAGCACCTGGACCCCCTCACCTTTCCCCGGTGACCTTTGACCCCCCATCACCAAAAAAACATCACAAGCACCTGGACCCCCTCACCTTTCCCTGGTAACCTTTGACCCCCATCACCAAAAAACATCACAAAGCACCTGGACCCCCTCACCTTTCCCCAGTGACCTTTGACCCCCATCACCAAAAAAACATCACAAAGCACCTGGACCCCCTCACCTTTCCCCAGTGACCTTTGACCCCCCATCACCAAAAACATCACAAAGCACCTGGACCCCCCTCACCTTTCCCCACTGAACTTTGACCCTCCAACCCTCCCCTTGCACGAGGACCCCCACTACGATCCCCCAAAATGATCCCCCTCCCCAAAAATGACCCCTCACAGGAGAACCTGCCTCCCTTTGCATGAGGACCCCCAAAATGACCCTTCACACAAAGACCCCCGCAATGAGAAGCCCCCCACCAGACCCCTCCTTGCACACTCACCTCCCCTTTGCACACTCACCCCCCTTTGCACACTCATCCCCTCCCCCAGACCCGGCAGGTCCCTCCCCATCCCCCAAACTTGCACAACCCCCTTGCACAAACACCTCCCTCCCACGACCCCCGGGCACACTCACCCTCCCCCCAAATCCCCCAGAGCCCCTTTCCCACACGAGCCCCCTTTTATACAAGGACCCCCTCCCACGAGGACCCTTCCCACGACCCCCTTCCCCCCAAACACGAGACCCCTTTCATGACCCCCTCCCAAAACGAGACCCCTTCCACGCCCCCCCACAACGGGACCCCCTTCCATGAGCCCCCCTTTCCCTCCCTCTTCCCACGGGACCCCATTTCACGCCTCCCCACCCAAAATGGGACCCCTTTCACGACCCCCCACGGGACTCCCTTTCATGCCCCCGGGACCCCCTTTCACGCCCCCCTCAAAACGGGACCCTCTTTCACGACCCCTCAAACAGGACCCCTTCCCCCACACCATGAGACCCCTTTCACCCCCCAAAACGGGACCCCCTTTCACGAGTCCCCCCTCACACAAACACCTTCCCCACGACCCCCATTCTCGCCCCCCACCCCAAAACAGGACCCCTTTCACACTCCCCAAAACGGGACCCCCTTTCACGACCCCCCAAAACAGGACCCCCTTTCACAACCCCTCCCCAAAACGGGACCCCTTTCACGACTCCCCTAAAACAGGACCTCCTTTCACAACCCTCCCCAAAACAGGACCCCCTTCCATGACCCCCCCAAAACGGGACCCCCTTCCCCCCAAAACGGGACCCCTTCCCCCGGTACCTTCCCACAGCTCGTGTCCCCCGTGTCAGGACCCCCGTTCTGGCCTCTGCCCCCAAACTCCCCCCACCGGGGCTCCCCTGCCCCCCTCAGCCCCTCCCCCTCAGGTGAATCATTTACCGGGGGGCAAAGTCCGAACTGGCCTGGGGGCACCTCGGGGGCACCACGAGGGGGCACTTTACAGCCCCAGGGGCACCTTTACGGTCCTGGGGGCATTTGGGGACACCGGAGGGGGTATTTGGGACACCGGGGGGCACCTGAGGGCACCTTTATGGCCCTGGGAGGCATTTGGGGCCACGGGGGGCACCTGAGGCACCTTTAGAGCCCGGGGGCACCTGAGGGCACCTGTAGAGCCCGGGGGCATTTGGGGCCACGTTGGGTGGGGGCAGCTGAGGGCAACTCTATGGGGGAGGAAGCAACGACAGCCCTGGGGGCACCTGAGAGGCACCTCCAGACCCCCGTGGCCCCCAAAAAGCCCTGGGGGCACCCAAAGCCCTGGATGGCCCCGGGGGTCCGTGTGGCCTGGATGGCCCCGGGGGCACCTGAGGACAGCGGGGGGCACTGGAGGTCCTGGGGGAATTGAGGGCACTTGAGGTCCTGGGGGTATTGGGGGTACCTGAAGGTCACGGGGGGCACCTGGGGGGGCACCCACAGCCCCAATATGGCTCTGGGGGCAACTCCAAATGGCTCCCCAAATGGCCCCAGTGGGGCCAAACTGGGAGCACTGGTTCATACTGGGGGCCCAGCTGGGCCCGAGCCTTAGAGGGGGTGGTCGTGGGGGGGTCTTGTGGGGTGGTCTGGGTGCCCATAGGGGGTCTGCTCTATGGGGGGGAGGAGGTCCCAGACCCTATAGGAGGGTTTTGGGTCCTTACAGGGGGTCCCGCTCCTCATAAGGGATCTTGGTCCCTATAAGGGGGTCCCAGACCCCATAAGGGAATCCCGGCCCCTATAGGGGGTCCCAGACCCTATGGGGGGGTCTCAGTCCATAAATGGGGTCCTGGGTCCTTAATGGAGGGGTCCCGGTCCCCATAAGGGGGTCCCAGCCCCTGTAGGGGGTCCTGGTCCCCATAAGGGGTCTGGATCCCTATAAGGGGGTCCCAGACCCCATAACGGAGGGGGGGAGGGTCCCAGGTCCTATAAAAGGCTCCCAGTCCCTATAGGGGCTGACAGGGGGGTCTTGTAGGGGGGTCCCGATCCTTACAGGGGGGTCCAGGGGGGTTGGGGGTCACTCGGGACCCACGGGGGGTGTCTGGGGTCACTCGGGACCCACGGGGGGTCCTGGGGTCGCGGCCCCCAAAAAGGCCGATCAGCCCTGAGGGGAGGGGGGGTCATGTCGCGATAGTCACGCGATACGGGAGGTCACGTGGGACCCCCGCCCCCAACTCACCGCTCCGCGAGCGCCGCTTCCCCCGCGTCCCGGCGGCTCCGCTGGCCCCGCCCCCTCGCTTCCTATTGGCTACCCGCCAGAGCCCCCGCCCTCTTTTCACCGAATCCGGCACCTCATTGGCCCGCTCTCTTCCGCCCCCGCCGCGCCATTGGCTGGAGGAGCCGCCACTCCCACTACGGCCACGCCCCCTCCTCGCTCTGCTGGAACCGATTGGTCGGTGGGCGGGGGTCGCCGGTTAAAGGGGCGTGGCCTGTTGTCCCCGTGACCCGGTTAGGCCCCGCCCATTCCCGGGAGTCCCGTTCTCGTCGCCGCTTCGGATCCTCCCGCCCGGCAGGGGGCGCCCTATGCGACGCTGGAGGAGCTCCCCCCTGGCCCACGGCGTGCTCTCTATGGCTCCCCCTCCTCTTCCGGGGTCCTCCACAGCCCCCTTTGCCACCCCCACTTCCCCCAGGTCGCCCCACCACCCCTAAAGGGACGTGCAGGGACCCCCCTGCCCCTTCTCCTGCGCTCCTGCAGCCCCTCACCGATCGTAGGGGACACCCCACGGGGGGACACCCCTAGAGGGCCCCCCATGCCCCTCCCCTGCCCCATGGGACACCCCCAGGGCCCCCCCAGCCGGGCCTACAACTCCCACCGTGCCCCACGGACCCCTCGGTTGCCACGGCAACCGCTTCTCCCGTCTCGCGCGTGCGTAGAGCCCCCCTCCCGCCGCTGCCATGGCAACCGCGCCCCCTCTGCCCGCGCACGCGCAGCAGCGCCGAGCTGCGGCGGGAGGGCGGCGCGCCCCTATTGGCTGGTTCTCTCAGGCCACACCCTCCACACCGCCAAAGCGAAGCACTGATTGGTTCAAACCCGCTGGGCACGCCCCTCCCCTGTTGCCGCGCGGCGTTGATTGGTCAAAAACGCCCGGCCCCGCCTCCCGCGGCACCGCCCCCCCGCAGTCGGGGCGCGGCCGCCGCCCCGCACGGACGCGCCTCCCCCGCGCTCCGCCGATCCCGCCATGGCCGACCCCGCCGCGCAGTTCCCCGTCGTCTCCTCGTCCTCCTTGCCCTCCTCCCCCTCCCCAGGGCGGCCCCAGCCCGGCGGCTGCCGCGGCGGGTCCGTGTCGTGCGCCGGTAAGGGCCGGGCGGGGCCTCCACGGGGGCCTGAGGAGGGGGCGAGGCCCTGAGGGGAAAGGGGCGCTTTGAGGGGGAATCGTGAGGGGAAAAGGGGGGGGGCGTGAGGGGAAGAGGCTTTTGGGGGTCGGAAATGGGGGTCGCGGGTCTTTGAGAGGTAAGTATGGGGGGGAGAGGCTTTTGGGGGTAGTTGGGTGTTAAAGAGGCTTTTGGGGGTAGTTGGGTGTTAAAGAGACTTTTAGGGGCAGATTTGGGGGTGAAGAGGCTTTTAGAGGGCTTAGGGGGCATAAAGAAGGTTTAAAACGGCATTTTGGGAGGTTAAGAGGTTTTTAGAGGGAATTCTGGGGGTGAAGAGGCTTTTTGGGGGTGTTTTGAGGGGCTGAGGCCTTTGGGGGGGCAGATTTGGGGGGCATTGCCACCCCCCCACCCCCCTCCGTTCCTCAGAAATGAGGTAAAACCCCCCAAAAAAGGAGCCGTTGGGGTTTTTTGGCAGGGGGTCTTTGCTCCGTCCGTCCTTCCTGGGGGGGCCCCCTGGGACCCCCCCACCCCGGCTGCTTTCAGCTCTCCCTGACTCGGCAATTCCTGGGATCTCACCCAAAATGCCCAGGATTTCATCTCTGGATGCCTTAAAACCCCAAATCTCGGCTTTTTCTCCTCAAAATGTTGTGTTTTCCCCCCAAAACTCGGCGTTTTCCCCCTGAAATGTTGTGGTTTTCCCCCAAAATGTTGGAGTTTCACCCCAAGATGTTGCGTTTTCTCCCCAAATCTTGGTATTTTCTCCCCAAATCTTGGCGTTTTCACCCCAAAACTTTTGGGGTGTTGAGGGGGGTTTGGGGAACAATCCCTGCGCCGATTCCTGCCCCAAACCGTGACCAGGGTGGGGAAAACAGGGTAAAAAACTCTCAAATCTGGGGAAAACGAGGTAAAAACCCCTCAAATTTGGACAAAATGGGGTTAAACCCCTCAAATTTGGGCAGAATGGGGTAAAAAACCCTCAAATTTGGAGAAAACGGGGTTAAACCCCTTCAAATGTGGGCAAAATGGGGTTAAAAACCCCTCAAATTTGGGGAAAATGACATTGAAAACCCCCCAGATTTGGGTAAAAGTGAGCTCTGGGGGGGATTGGTAATTTTGGGGGTCCCCTGGTAATTCTGGGGGAGTCCTGGGGGTCTCTGAGCTCTCACCCTCTGTGTTCTCTTGCAGATCCCCCCATTTCTTCTTCCTCTTCTTCTTCCTCCTCCTCTTCCTCCTCCCAGCCCGTTTCTCTCTTTGCGGCTTCACCAGGCAAGTCTTTCCCTCCCCCCCCCCAAAAAAAAACACCCCCCTGAATTTGGGGGGGGTCCCTGAGTCAATTTGGGGGTCCCTGAGTCAATTTGGGGGGGTCCTTGAGCCGATTTGGGGGGTCCTTGAGCCAATTTGGGGGTCCTTGCGATTTCGGCCCAAAATCCCCTGATTTGAGGGGGGTTCAGCTCATTTTTTTGGGGGGGGTTGAAATGGCTTTGGGGGGGTTAAATGAACAAAAAAATAGACATTTTTTTTGATTCTCTTTTCCTGCTCTTTAACTCAGCTTCTTCTCTGTTTTTTGGGGTCTGACCCCCCCTCTCTCTCCCTCCCAGCTTTGCCCCCCCTTTGGCTGTGCCCCCCCCCAAAATCTGCCCCTCCCCCGCTTTGCACGGTTCCCCCTCCCCCACTGCTGCTGCTGCTGCTCCTGCAGAAAATCGTCATTTCTTGTGGTTTGGCCTCAAAAAAACCTCCCCCCCCCCACCCCTGACCCGCCTGCGCCGCCCTCGGGGGCTTTGGGAGACCCCCGGGGAAAATGGGGGAGGGACTTAAAATCTCCTCCCCGCCCCAGCATTGGGATCTTTGGGGAGGGGGAGGAGGAATCCAGACCCAAAAATGGGGCATTTTGGGGCTCAAAATGTGGGGGTTTAGCCCCAAAATCGGTCGGTCGAGGCCAAATTTTGGGGGGGATCCCTCAAGTTCTTGGGGCCAAATCTGCAGGTTTTGGGGTTTCCTGCAGGTTTTGGGGTGTCCTGCCCCCCCCCAATCCTCACTCCAGACCTAAAATGGGTGTTTTTAGACCCAAAATGGGTATTTTTATACCTAAAAGGGGTGTTTTTAACCCCACTGTTGGTGTTTTTATCCCCAAAATTAATGGGTTTAGGCCCAATTTGAGGTCCCCAGCAGGTCCCCCCCCCCCCAGTTTCCTGACCCTAAACCTGCAGGTTTTTGGGGTGTCCCAAAATAATGATTTTAGTCCCAGAATGAGTGGCTTTGGCCCCAAATTGAGTACTTTTTAGCCCCAAAATGGGTGTTTTTAGCCCCAAACTGAGGTCCCCTGCAGGACCCCCCCAATTTCTTGGACCCAAACCTGCGGGTTAGACCCCAAATTGGGTGGTTTTAATCCAAAAATTGGCACTTTTAGCCCAATAAATGGGTGGGTTTAGTCCCCAGATTTGCAGTTTTCACCAAACCCTGGTGGGTTCCAGCCCCAAAATGAGCATTTTTAACCCCAAACCGACATCCTCCCTCCCCCCCTCTCGGATTTGGGGGTGTATTTGGGGGGTGGGGGGGCTTCTGTGCCGTTCCACTCGACCCCCCCCTGCATGGCTGGATTTTTGGGGAGGGGGAGGGACAGGAGGGACCCCCAACCCCCTGCATGGCTGTGCTGGGGGGGGGGAACCCCCAAAATGCTGCATGGGGGGCACAGGGGACACCCCCAAACCTCTGCATGGCTGTGCCTGGGAGGGGGGGGACCCCAAAATGCTGGGGGAGACCCCAAAATGCTGGGGGGGACCCCAAAATGCTGGGGAGGGACCCCAAAATGCTGGGGGGGGGGGACACAGGAGGGACCCCCAAAATGCCTCATCAGCTGCAATGGGGGACCCTCAAAATGCTGGGGGTGGGACCCCAAAGTTTTGGGGAGGGCACAGGGGGACCCCAGAACGATGGGGGGCAGTGGGTGCATGGACCCCCCCAGGGAGGGCACCTGGGACCCCAAAATGATGGGGGGGACCCCAAAGTTCTGGGGAGGCACAGGGGACCCCAGAGCGATGGGGGCAGTGGGTGCATGGACCCCCCCCAGGGAGAGGACCTGGGACCCTAAAATGATGGGGGGGACCCCAAAGCGATGGGGGGGCAGTGGGTGCATGGACCCCCCAAGGGAGGGGACCTGGGACCCCCAAACCACAGGGGGGTTCAGGGGTGACCCCAAACCACAGGGGGGGTGCAGTGGGTGCTCATTTCCCCCCCCCTCATCCGGGTTGGGCTCGGGGGCACCCGGGGGAAGGTTTATGGGGTCAGGGGTACCCGGGGAAGGTTTATGGGGTTGGGGTCACCCAGGGGAAGGTTTATGGGGTCAGGGTCACTTGGGGGAAGGTTTATGGGGTCAGGGGTACCCAGGGAAGGTTTATGGGGTTGGAGTCACCCAGGGAAGGTTTATGGGGTCAGGGTCACTTGGGGGAAGGTTTATGGGGTCAGGGGTACCCAGGGGAGGTTTATGGGGTCAGGGTCACCCAGGGAAGGTTTATGGGGTCAGGGTCACCCAGGGGAAGGTTTATGGGGTCGGGGGTACCCAGGGGAAGGTTTATGGGGTCAGGGGTACCCAGGGGAAGGTTTATGGGGTCAGGGGTACCCGGGGAAGGTTTATGGGGTTGGGGTCACCCAGGGGAAGGTTTATGGGGTCAGGGTCACCCAGGGGAAGGTTTATGGGGTCAGGGTCACCCAGGGGAAGGTTTATGGGGTCCGGGGTCATCCAGGGGAGGTTTATGGGGTCAGGGGTACCCAGGGGAAGGTTTATGGGGTCAGGGGTACCCAGGGGAGGTTTATGGGGTCGGGGGTACCCAGGGGAAGGTTTATGGGGTCAGGGTCACCCAGGGGAGGTTTATGGGGTCAGGGGCACCCAGGGGAAGGTTTATGGGGTCAGGAGTCACCCAGGGAAGGTTTATGGGGTCAGGGTCACCCAGGGGAAGGTTTATGGGGTTGGGGTCACCCAGGGGAAGGTTTATGGGGTCAGGGTCACCCAGGGGAAGGTTTATGGGGTCAGGGGTACCCGGGGAAGGTTTATGGGGTCAGGGTCACCCAGGGAAGGTTTATGGGGTCAGGGGTACCCAGGGGAAGGTTTATGGGGTCAGGGTCACCCAGGGAAGGTTTATGGGGTCAGGGTCACCCAGGGGAGGTTTATGGGGTCGGGGGTACCCAGGGAAGGTTTATGGGGTCGGGGTCACCCAGGGGAGGTTTATGGGGTCGGGGGTACCCAGGGAAGGTTTATGGGGTCAGAGGGTCACCCGGGGGAGGTTTATGGGGTCAGGGGTACCCAGGGAAGGTTTATGGGGTCAGGGTCACCCAGGGGAAGGTTTATGGGGATAGGGTCACCCAGGGGAAGGTTTATGGGGTCAGGGTCACCCAGGGGAAGGTTTATGGGGTCAGGGTCACCCAGGGGAAGGTTTATGGGGTCAGGGTTACCCGGGGGAAGGTTTATGGGGTCAGGGGTACCCGGGGGAAGGTTTATGGGGTCAGGGTCACCCAGGGGAAGGTTTATGGGGTCAGGGTCACCTGGGGAAGGTTTATGGGGTCAGGGGTACCCAGGGAAGGTTTATGGGGTTGGGGTCACCCAGGGGAGGTTTATGGGGTCAGGAGTACCCGAGGAAGGTTTATGGGGTTCAGGGTCACCCGGGGGGGGTCCCCTGACCGTGTGTCCCCCTCCCCCCACAGCGCCCCCTGCCGGGCCGGGGGCGTCCCCGGGGCTGAGCCCGCCGGAGTCCCCGGAGTCTCCGTTCGAGGTGGTCCCGGACCGCGCCGCCTTCGACCGCGAGTTCGGCCCCGCGCTGGCGCAGATCCCCGAGGGCCGCGAGTGCCACTTCCCCCGCCCGCCCCGGCGAGGGGAACCCCCCTGGGACCCCTCCTGGGCCCCCAAAACCCGGGCCGGGCGCTGGGCCGGCCCCCGCCCGGCTCGGCGGCGGCGCTGGAGGAGGTGTCGCGCTGCGTGCGGGAGATGCGCAGCTTCACCAGCGAGATGCTCTCCTGGGACCTGGTGGAGGGAACCGGGAACGGCCCCCTGGGCACCGGGAATGATGACCTGGGCACTGGGAACAGGCCCCTGGGCACCGGGAATGATGACCTGGGCACCGGGAATGATGATCTGGGCACCGGGAACGGCCCCCTGGGCACTGCCAACGGCCACATGGGCACCGGGAATGATGACCTGGGCATTGGGAATGATGACCTGGGCACCAGGAACGGCCACATGGGCACCAGGAATGGTGACCTCGGGCACTGGGAATGGTCACCTGGGCACCGGGAATGGCGACCTGGGCAACGGGAATGATGAGCTGGTCACTGGGAATGGTGACCTGGGCACTGGGAATGGCGACCTGGGCAACGGGAATGATGAGCTGGTCACTGGGAATGGTGACCTCGGCACCGGGAACGGCCACCTGGGTACCAGGAACGGCGACCTGGGCACTGGGAATGGTCATCTGGGCATTGGCAACGGCACGGCCCGACCCGCCAGCGGCCAGCCTGGCACTGGCAGCGGTGACCTGGGCACTGGGAACGGCCACCCTGGCCCCAGCAGCGCTGGAAGCGGCACCAGGGATGGCGATGGGAATGGCGGCGCCGGCGCTGGGAAAGGAGGCACCGGCACTGGGAATGATGGTGGTGGCGGTGGCCTCGGCACTGGCAATGGTGGCCTCGGCTTTGGGAACGGCGTCCTGGGCACCAAGAGCGGCGACTCGGCACTGGGAACGGCGTCCTGGGCACTGGGAATGGTGGCCTGGGCACCAAGAGTGGTGGCCCTGGTGCCAGTGTCCCCAGCACTGGTGGCCCTGGTGGCACTGGTGGCGGGAGCAGCATGGTGGGGAACGGTGTCCCCGGTGTCCCCGGCGTTGGAATTGGCGTCACCAGCACGGGCGGTGGCCTCACCGGTGTCCCCGGCATCGGGAATGGCTTCGCTGGAGGTGGCCCCGGTGGCCTCGGGGGCCCCGGGCTGGGCGTCCCCCCCGGTGCCGACGGCGACAGCTCCGGTGACTCCGACAGCACCGTCGTGGAGGAGGGGCCGGGAGAGGCCCCCCCAGAGCCCCCCCAGCCCCGTGGGGTCCCCCCCGCTGTCCCCAGCGATGTCCCCAGCGATGTCCCCAAGGGCGGCCCCGGGGACTGGGAGCAGGAGCGCCAGACCCTGCGGGCGCTGCAGGAACTGGGGGGGCCCCCCGAGAGCCCCCCGGCCGGGGCCCTCCCCCGCCTGGCAGGTAAAGCCCCAGAAAGGGCCCTTTTTACCCCAAAAAAGGGCTTTTTTTTTGTACCCCAGGAAGGGCCCTTTTAACCCCAAAAAAGGGCTTTTTTTTTGTACCCCAGGAAGGGCCCTTTTAACCCCAAAAAAGGGCTTTTTTTTTACCCTAAAAAGAGCTTTTTTTCACCCCAAAAAGGGCTCTTTTTGCACCCCAAAGAGAGCTTTTTTTCATCTCAAAAAGGTCTCTTTTTTCACCCCAGAAAGGGCTTTTTTGCACCTCAAAAAGGGGTTTTTTTTCCACCCCAAAAAGGGCTCCTTTTCACCCCAAAAAGGGCTCTTTTTCACCCCGAAATGGTGCCGAAAACATCGGGGGGTAGGGGGAGCTGTGACTTGACACCCCAAAAAGGGGGGGAAAGAGGGGTCAAAGGGGGGGACCTCACCCTGAAATGCTGAGGGGGGGGAGCCCAGTGAGTGCCTTTGTTTTTGGGGGAAAAAGGGGGATTTTGGGCAAAACCCGCTGCCACAGCCTGGGGGTGGCTGATTAACCCCCTAAAAGGGAAGGGGGGGCACAGAAAGGGGGGACCCCACCCCCAAAATGGTGTTTGGGGGGGGGGAGGGGGCCCCAGGTCTGCCTTGTTTTGGGGTAAATAGAGAGGGGGGTTTGGGGTGAAAAAGGGGGATTTGGGGCCAAAGCCACCATCAGACTTTGGGGGGGGTTAATTAATGCTTGGTGATTACTGGGGAGGGTAATTAAGACCCGTTTGTAATGGGAGAGGTTAATTAAGGCTTATCTCTAATGGGAGGTTAATTAAGGCACATTTTCACTGGGAGAAGTAATTAAGACCCATTATTACTTGGGGGATTTAATTAAGGTGTGATTTTATTGGGGGGAGTTAATTGAGGTGGACTTTTAGTTGGGGGGGTTAATTGAGATCCATTTTAACGAGGGGAGCTGGGATAATTAAGGGTCCTTTGTAACGGGGCCAATTCTTAAGGGGGAGAGAGTTAATTAAGATCTTTGTTATAGGGGGGTGCATTATAGGGGGGTGCAATTGGGTGCAAACAGGCACCAATTAATTTTTAATTGGGAGGGGGGAGATGATTAGTCCCTGTTCTGTGTGTGACCCCCCCCAGTGACCCCTGAGTGACCCCTCTGTGTGTGTGACCCCCTGAGTGACCCCTCAGTGTCCCCACTGCCCCCACCACTGATCCTGCTGTGTCCTCACTGTCCCCTCTGTCCCCGCTGTGTCCCCGCAGTGCGGGAGCTGCTGTTCTGTGTCCCCACTGACCCTACTGACCCCACTGTGTCCCCACTGACCCCACTGTGTCCCCACTGACCCTGCTGTGTCCCCACTGACCCCACACTGACCCCCTGTCCCCTCTGTCCCCGCAGTGCGGGAGCTGCTGTTCAGTGTCCCCACTGACCCCACACTGTCCCCACTGACCCCACTGTGTCCCCTCTGTCCCCGCAGTGCAGGAGCTGCTGTTCTGTGTGTGTGTGACCCCACTGACCCCCCTGTGTCCCCTCTGTCCCCGCAGTGCAGGAGCTGCTGTTCTGTGTCCCCAGTGTCCCCAGTGACCCTGTTATGTCCCCACTGACCCCCCCCTGTCCCCCTGTCCCCGCAGTGCGGGAGCTGCTGTTCTGTGTCCCCACTGACCCCACACTGACCCCTCTGTCCCCGCAGTGTGGGAGCTGCTGTTCTGTGTCCCCAGTGACCCCACACTGACCTCACACTGACCCCCCACTGTCCCCCCTGTCCCCGCAGTGCGGGAGCTGCTGTTCTCTGTGTGTGTGTGACCCCAATGACCCTGTTATGTCCCCAGTGACCCCACACTGACCCCCCTGTCCCCCCTGTCCCCGCAGTGCGGGAGCTGCTGTTCTGGCGGGACGTGCGGCGCAGCGCGGTGGCCTTCGGGGCCAGCCTGGTGCTGCTGCTGTCGCTGGCCACGCTCAGCGCCGTCACCGTGGTGGCCCACGTGGCGCTGGCCCTGCTCTGCGTCACCATCAGCCTGCGCGTCTACAAGGCCGTGGTGCAGGCCCTGCAGAAGTCCGAGGAGGGGCACCCCTTCAGGTGGGGCTGGGCAGGGGGGGTTGGGGTCACCCCATGCCGGGTTTGGGGGGTTTGGGGTCACCCTGTGCGAGGTTTGGGGGGTTTGGGGTCACCCCATGCCAGGTTTGGGGGGTTTGGAGTTACCCCATGCCAGGTTTGGGGGGTTTGGGGTCACTCCATGCCAGGTTTGGGGTCACCCTGGCCTGGCTTTGGGGGGTTTGGGGTCACCCCGGCCCAGGTTTGGGAGGTTTGGGGGGTTTGGGGTCACCTTGTGCTGGGTTTGGGGGGTTTGGGGTCACCCCGTACCAGGTTTGGGGGGTTTGGGGTCACCCCGTGCCAGGTTTGGGGGGTTTGCGGTCACCCTGGCCCGGGTTTCGGGCTTTTGGGGACGGGGGTGTGGGGTGATGGGCTTGGTGGGCCTGATCGTTGGTTAGGGGGAAGGTTTAGGGGTGTAGATGGGGATTTTGGGGTTTAAGTGGGGGGTTGCAGGAGGATTTGGGGCTTCAGGGTGGATTTTGGGGTTCAGGGGGGCTTTGGGGTCCCCCTCATGTGTCCCCACCCTCTGCCCAGGGCTCATCCCCACCCGGTGTGACGTCCCTGGAGACCTTCAGGGTTCGGGTTTAGAGGGGGGTTTTGAAGTGTAGGGCTGGATTTTGGGGTTCGGGGGGGGAGTTGTGGTTCAGGGGGGGTTTTAGGGCTCAGGAGGGGTTTGGGGGTTCAGGGGGGCTTTAGGGACCCTCTCACCTGTCCCCACCCCCCTGCCCAGGGCTCCCCTGGCCCTGCCCACGCCGTCCCTCGGGCCCTCCCGAGCTTCGGGTCGAGATGCGGATTTTTGGGTTACAAAGGCGGATTTTTGGATTCAAGGGGGGAGGGGGTGTCACAGGAGGATTTTGGGGTTCAGGCTGGATTTGAGGGGGGTGTTTCTGAGCCCCCCCTGACGTGTCCCACCCCCCTGGGCAGGGCGTACCTGGAGCTGGACGTGACGTTGTCCCCCGAGCGCTTCCAGGCCCAGGCGGCCGCCGTGGCCCTGCACGTGAACCGCGCGCTGCGGCTGCTGCTGCGCCTCTTCCTCGTCGAGGACCTGGTGGATTCCCTGGAGGTCTGACGCCTTCCTCCCCGCCCTCCTCATCCTCCCCACCACCCCCCAAACCCCCCCAAAACTCTGCTCTGTCCCCCTCCAGCTGGCCCTGACCATGTGGCTGCTGACCTACGTGGGCGCCGTCTTCAACGGCATCACCCTCCTCATCCTCGGTGAGAAACCCCTCTCCCCCCAAAACCACTCCCCACGTTGTTGATTTGGGGGGTGCTGAGCCCCAAAATCAGCAAACCGAGGGGGGGTTTGCCCCCCAAATAACTCTGACCCCCTCTTGTTTTTCCCTCCTCCCCAGCTGACCTGTTGGCCTTCACCCTCCCGCCCCTCTACGAGAAGTACAAGGTGAGACTCCAGGGGACAAAGGGACACCCCCCTACCCAAAAATGAACGGGGACATCCCCAAAACACACCCCTAAAAATAGGGGACACCCCCAGAAATGGGAGGATGGCCCTTTAACACCCCCTTTTACCCCCAAAGGTGCAGATCGATCACTATGTGGGCATCGTCCGTAGCCAGACCAAGGACATCGTGGCCAAGTGAGTGCCTGGGCCCCACCCCCCAACCAAATCCTGGGCCCCCCCAAAATCCTGGGCACCTCCCTCACATCATTCCAAACCCTCTCATATTGCTGGACCCCCCCAAAAGCCTCCCCAGCCCCGCAAAAGCTCTCCCCTCTCTCTGTAGGATCCAGGCGAAGCTCCCGGGTCTGGCCAAGAAGAAACCGGAATAAACCCCCTGGTGGGGAGGGGGAAGGGAATTTGGGGTACCCGGTGGTGCCCCCCCACTCTGAGCTCATCTTCCCCCTGAGCTCCCCTCCCCCAAATTCCACCCCCACCCCCCAAAGCTCGTGCCCCCTCCCCATCTCACAGTGGCGTCCGTCTGTGTCCCCCCAAGCCTTGGGGTTCTCAGGGGGCTGCACCCCAAAGAACCCCGGGGTCCCCTAAGCCCCTGGGGAATCCCCTCCCCAGCTCGTTTCTCCCCGCCCCTTTTTATTTTTAACGTAAATTGAGGTGAAATGTCTGTAACTGCTGTAAATGGGGGGTGAGGGGGCTCAGCCCCTCCCACAGCCCCCCAAACCGCACTGCGACTCCCCGGTCCCCCTGACCCCCTTGGCTCTGCTGGGGGTGGGAAATGGGGACCCCCAAATCCACCCGCGGGGACGTGGCATCAATAAAACACTGCGACGACATCTCGGCCCCCCTTGTGCTGGGACCCCAAAATGGCCCTGGGACCCCCAAAACGGCCCTGGGACCCCCAAACGGCCTGGGACCCCCCAAAATGGCCCTGGGACCCCCAAAACGGCCCTGGGACCCCCAAAACAGCCCTGGAACCCCCAAAGCGGCCCTGGGACCCCCGAGTGTCCTCCCCACTGTCCCTGGGATGCCCCAAAGATCCCCTCAAATGTTCCTGGTGCCCCCAAATGTCCCCTAAAACGTCCCCCAGACCCCTCAAATGTCCTTTTGTGCCCCCCCAATGTCCTGTGACCCCCAAATATCCCCCCAGTGTCCCCCAAATGTCCCCCGTCACTCCAGGGGTCTCCAGGAGCGGGGTTTATTTGGGGGGTTTATTTTGGGGGCCCATAAAAACGGGGGACACAGAGATATAAATAGGGTGACACTGGTGGGGGGGACACACACAGTGACACCAGTGAGGGAGGTGCCACCTCTGGGGTGGGGTGGGGGTGTCACTGCTGTCCCCACCCCCCTGTGGGGTGTCCCCATCCTGGGGGCTCAGGTGGTGCAGGGGGGGAAGGGTCCTGTGCCCTCGACCCCCCCCTTGGGGTCTTCCTCTTCCTCCTCCTCCTCAGTGGGGTGGGGGGGTGGCAGTGCTGTGGGGGTGGGACAGCGCTGTCACCTCCTTGTCACCTCACTGGGGTGGCCTCAGGTCCCCACAGCCCCCTCCAGCCCCCAAATGTCCCCATGTCCCCAAACCCCCAGGGTTCCCACAGTCCCCCTCAGTGTCCCCATGTCCCCAAACCCCCAGTGTTCCCAAACCCCCAGGGTCCCCATAGCCACCCCCTCAGTGTCCCCATGTCCCCAAACCCCCAGGGTCCCCACAGCCCCAGGGTCCCCATGTCCCCAAACCCCCAGGGTTCCCACAGCCCCCAGGGTCCCCATGTCCCCAAACCCCCAGGGTTCCCAGTCCCCCTCAGTGTCCCCATGTCCCCAAACCCTCAGTGTTCCCCAAACCCCCAGGGTCCCCACAGCCACCCCCTCAGTGTCCCCATGTCCCACAGCCCCCAGGGTCCCCAAACCCCCAGGGTCCCCACAGTCCCCCCTCAGTGTCCCCATGTCCCCAAACCCCCAGTGTCCCCACAGCCCCCCTCAGTGTCCCCACCCCCCCGATGTCCCCATCCCCCCATGTCCCCTGTCCCCCTCCCCGTGGCTGTCCCCACAGTGTCCCCCCTGTCCCCAAATGTCCCCTCTCACCAGGAGTGTCCCTGCCGTGTCCCCGCTGTCCTGGAGGTGGCACTTTGTCCCCGCTGTGCCCCCGTGGTGCCAGTTTGTCCCTGCAGTGTCCCCTCTCACCGGGGCTGTCCCCGTGGTGTCTTCTCTGTCCCCAGGCTGGCAGTTTGTCCCAGGGGTGGCACTGGGGCAGCAGTTTGTCCCCTGTGTGTCCCTGCTGTCCCCTGTCCCCTGGGCTGTCCCCTGTGTGTCCCTTTTGTCCCCCCCGGCAGGGCTGTCCCCGGGGTGTCCCCGCTGTGTCAGTTTGTCCCCTGGGTGTCCCTGCTGTCCCCCCCTGGCAGGGCTGTCCCCTGGGTGTCCCCGCTGTCCTCTGTCCCCAGGGCTGTCCCCGGGGTGTCCCTGCTGTGTCAGTTTGTCCCCTGGGTGTCCCCACTGTCCTCTGTCTCCAGGGCTGTCCCCTGGGTGTCCCCTGTCCCCAGGGCTGTCCCCTGGGTGTCTCCGCTGTCCCCCACTGGCCAGGCTGTGCCCTGGGTGTCCCCGATGTCCCCTGTCCCCAGGGCTGTCCCCTGGGTGTCCCTGCTGTCCTCCCCTGGCTGGGCTGTCCCCTGTGTGTCCCTGCTGTCCCCTGTCCCCAGGGCTGTCCCCTGTGTGTCCCCGCTGTCCCCTGTCCCCATGATGTCCCCGTGGTGGTGGCAGGGCCAGGCTGGCTGGGCTGTCCCCAGGCTGTCCCCTGTCCCCAGGTCTGTCCCCAGGCTGTCCCCGCTGTCCCCTGTCCCCAGGGCTGTCCCCATGGTGTCCCCGTGGTGGCGGCAGGGCCAGGCTGGCTGGGCTGTCCCTGGGCTGTCCCCTGTCCCCAGGCTGTCCCCGCTGTCCCCTGTCCCCAGGCCTGTCCCCATGGTGTCCCCGTGGTGGCGGCAGGGCCAGGCTGGCTGGGCTGTCCCCTGTGTGTCCCCGCTGTCCCCTGTCCCCAGGGCTGTCCCCTGTGTGTCCCCGCTGTCCCCTGTCCCCAGGCTGTCCCCGCAGTCCCCTGTCCCCAGGGCTGTCCCCTGGGTGTCCCTGCTGTCCTCCCCTGGCTGGGCTGTCCCCTGTGTGTCCCTGCTGTCCCCTGTCCCCAGGGCTGTCCCCATGGTGTCCCCGTGGTGGCGGCAGGGCCAGGCTGGCTGGGCTGTGCCCTGTGTGTCCCCGCTGTCCCCTGTCCCAAGGTCTGTCCCCGGGCTGTCCCCTGTCCCCAGGGCTGTCCCCATGGTGTCCCCACTGTCCCCTATCCCCAGGGCTGTCCCCTGTGTGTCCTTGCTGTCCCCTGTCCCCAGGGCTGTCCCCGCTGTCCCCTGTCCCCAGGGCTGTCCCCAGGCTGTCCCTGCTGTCCCCTGTCCCCATGGTGTCCCTGCTGTCCCCTGTCCCCTGTGTGTCCCCGCTGTCCCCTGTCCCCAGGGCTGTCCCCTGTCCCCATGGTGTCCCCGCGGTGGCGGCAGGGCCAGGCTGTCGGGGTGCCGGGCCAGCGCGTGCCGCCGGATGTCCCCGAGGTGCAGGGACGGGAGGGGACACGCGCACAGGAGGCACCGCAGGTGGCCCCGCTCCAGGTCCAGCAGCAGCTCCGCCCGCAGCCACCCCCGCACGGGGTCCCCGGGGCCACCCCGGCGGGGACACCCCCGGAGAGGGAGGGGACACCCCCGGAGAGGGAGGGGACACCCCCCCGGGGCACGGCGACGGGGACCCTGCGGGGAGGGGACACGGGGGTCACACAGGGGACACCTTGGGGGAATCAGGGACGCGTGGGGTGGGGCAGGGACCTTGGGGACACCGTGGGGACACGGTGGGGACACCGTGGGGACGTGGTGGGATGGGACAAGGACATTGGGGCAGGGGACTTGGGGACAGTTTGGGGACACTTGGGGGGGACATTGTGGGATGGGGCAGGAGCGTTGGGGACACCGTGGGGACACTGTGGGGACACCTTGGGGATGTGGTGGGATGGGACAAGGACATTGGGGCAGGGGACTTGGGGCGTTGGGGACAGTTTGGGGACACTTGGGGGAGACATTGTGGGACGGGGCAGGGACCTTGGGGACACCGTGGGGACACCGTGGGGACACGGTGGGGACGTGGTGGGACGGGACAAGGACGTCGGGGACAGGGGACTTGGGGCGTTGGGGACAGTTTGGGGACACTTGGAGGGAACATTGTGGGATGGGGCAGGGGCGTTGGGGACACCGTGGGGACACCGTGGGGACGTGGTGGGACAGGACAAGGACGTCGGGACAGGGGACTTGGGGCGTTGGGGACAGTTTGGGGACACTTGGGGGGGACATTGTAGGATGGGGCAGGGGCGTTGGGGACACCGTGGGGACGTGGTGGGACAGGACAAGGACGTCGGGACAGGGGACTTGGGGCGTTGGGGACAGTTTGGGGACACTTGGGGGGGACATTGTGGGATGGGGCAGGGGCGTTGGGGACACCTGGGAGTGTTGGGGACACCTTGGGGACAGGATGGGGACAGCGGGGGGAGTGGCCTGTCTAAAGGGGCGTGGTCATTGAGATAAAGGGGCGGGGCTCTGGCCAAAGGGGAGGAGCCACATTTAAAGGGCCAATGGCTCTGGTTTAGTCCTGGCCTTGCTCAAGGAGGGCGTGGCCATGAGGAAAGGGGCGGGACTTGTGATAAAGGGGGCGTGGGCACCGTTAAAAGGGTAACGCTCAAATGGGGTGGGGCCACCCTTAAAAAGGCAATGCTGGTGTTGAATGGATGTGTTGCCATTTAAAGGGGCGGTGCTTGGGTTAAAGGAGGTGTGGTCACGTTTAAAAGGGCAATGCCTATTTTAAATGGGGCGTGGCCACATCTAAAGGGGTAACGCTCATATTGGAGGGGTGTAGTGACACTTTAGAGGGGGGTGTCCAAAGGGGGAGTGGTTACACTTTAAAGGGCGGGGCTTATATTAAGGGAGGGCGTGGGCACATTTAAAGGGACAGTGCTCATAAAATTGGGGTGTGGTCGCATTTAAAGGGGTGATGGTCACACCAAATGGGGCGTGGTAGCATGTAAAGGGGTGGTCCTCACATCAAATGGGGCGTGGCCATCTCCAAAGGGGCGTGGCCGCATTTCAAAGGGCAATGCTCATATTAAAGGCAGTGTGGCCACACTTAAAAGGGCAACGCTCTCCTTAAAGGGCCTCCTCAACCCCCCTTCCCCTCCCCACCCCGTACCTGCCCCCCGGGCGGCTCCGGGGGTTCCCTCGGGGCCGGGGGGCGGCTCAGGGCGGGGGTCCCAGGAGCGCAGCACCAGCTGCCTCTGGCGGGGCCCCCAGCGGCCCGAGTAGGGGTGCCTCTGGCGGATGTGGCGCTTGATGGTGCTGAGCTTGAGCGTGGCCAGGGCGCTGCCGCACACGAGGCAGCGCATCCCGCGCCGCGCCCCCCGGAACTCCATCAGGTACTCGGAGCGCCAGCGCTCGTGGTAATAACGCCGGTGGTCCCGGCCCGGCACGCGGCTCCGGCCCGGCCGCGACGCTCGCCACTCCCGCGGGTCCGAGGGGCTGCAGGGGGCTCGTGGGGGAGGGGAGAGAGGCAGGGGTGAGGGGGGTCTGTTGGGGATCCCCTCAATGTGTCCCACACCCCCCCTCCATCAACAGGGTCCGTCTGGAGGAGGGTCTGGGAAACTGGGAATGGGGATTTGGGGGTCCAAGAGGAGGGGGTTTGGGAGGGGGAACCTGGGAATGGGGATTTGGGGGATCCAAGGGGAGTAGGGGGTTTTAGGGAGGGTTGGGGGTTTATATTGGGGAACCCGGGAATGGGGATTTAGGGGGTCCAAGGGAGTAGGGGGTTTGGGGAGAGGGTTTGGGGGTTTTATATTGGGGAACCCGAGAAAGGGAATTTGGGGGGTCAAGGGAGGGGGTTTGAGAGGGTTTATATTGTGGGAACCGGAAATGGGGATTTGGAGGGTACAAGGGATGGGGGGTTGAGAGGAGGGTTGGGGTGGTTGGTATGTTGGGGGAACTGGGAAATGGGGATTTGGGGGGATGTCCAAGGAGGAGGGGGTTTGGGGAGGGGTTGGGGGCTTTATATTGGGGGAACTGGGAATGGGGATTTGAGGGGGTCCAAGGAGGAGGAGGGGGTTTGAGAGGGGGTTAGGAGTGGTTGGTGTGTTGGGAGAGACCGGGAATGGGGATTTGAGGGGTCCAAGAGGAGGGGGTTTAGGGAGGGTTTGGGGGATTTATATTGGGGAACCGGGAAATGGGGATTTGGGGGTTCCAAGGGGAGGGGTTTGGGGAGGTTTGGGGAGTTTTATATTGGGGGAACTGGAAATGGGGATTTGGGGGTCCAAGGGGAGGAGGGGGTTTGGGGGATCCAAGGTGTACAGGGGCCTAGGGGTTGGGAGTTGATGAAAGGGGGACCACCCAGGGGTGGAGGGGGAATTGGGGGGTGCAGAGGGGTGGGAGGGACGAAGGGGATTCAGGGGCATCTTAAAGGGAATGGGGGCATCCCAAAATTCCTGGGGGCATCTTGGGGGCACAGGGACAACCTCCACTGGCTCAGGGGCTCTTAAAGGGCCAGCACTTGGAGTGAAAAAGGGGCGGGGACACCTTAAGGGGGAGGGGCATCCTAAATTGAAGGGGGGGGTCTTAAAGGGACAGGAGCATCTTAAAGGGACACGAACATCTTAAAGGAACAGGAGCATCTTAAAGGGACAGGAACATCTTAAAGGGACAGGAGCATTTTAAAGGGGCAGGAACATCTTAAAGGGACAGGAGCATCTTAAAGGGACAGGAACATGTTAAAAGGACAGGAACATCTTAAAGGGACAGGAGCATCTTAAAGGGACAGGAGCATCTTAAGGGGACAGGAGCATCTTAAAGGGACAGGAGCACCTTAAAGGGACAGGAACATCTTAAAGGGACACGAACATCTTAAAGGGACAGGAACATCTTAAAGGGACAGGAGCACCTTAAAGGGACAGGAATATCTTAAAGGGACAGGAACATGTTAAAGGGACAGGAGCACCTTAAAGGGACAGGAACATCTTAAAGGGACACGAACATCTTAAAGGGACAGGAACATCTTAAAGGGACAGGAGCACCTTAAAGGGACAGGAACATGTTAAAGGGACAGGAGCACCTTAAAGGGACAGGAACATCTTAAAGGGACACGAACATCTTAAAGGGACAGGAACATCTTAAAGGGACAGGAGCATCTTAAAGGGACAGGAGCATCCCAAATTCCTGAAGGCATCTTAAAGGGCCAGGGACTGCTCTGAAGGAATGGGGGGCGTCCCAAATTGGGTGAGGGGATCTTAAAGGGACAGAAGCACCTTCGAAGGGATGGGGGGGAGGGGGTTTTAAGGGATGAGGGCATCCTAAATTGCTGGGATTGCCCCTAAAGGGGGCAGAGGCGTCCTGAAGGGCATCCTAAAGCCACGGAGCCATCCCAAATGGGATCAGGGAGCACCTGAAGGGGCAGGGGCACCCCGAATTGCTGGGGGCACCCTGAAGGGCCGGGGGGTGACGGGGGGAGGGGGCAGCGTCGCTCCCATTGTGCTCCAAAGGGGGATTCTCCCCAGAGGGGGGTCTCCTTAAAGGGCCGCAGCGCCCACCCCTTTCCCACCCTCCCCGGTGCTCACCTGGGCTGTCCGGGGTGGGGAGGGGGCTCAGGAGCTCCATGGCGGGTCCAGGGCGGTGGCGGCGGCGCTGGGCGGGGGCCCGGCCGGGTGGGGACGCGGCCGAGGGGCCCCTGGGGCTCCTTGAAGGGCTCCTGGGTAAATTTAAAGGGGCCGCGCGCCTTTCCCATCCCCGACCCCTCCCCAAATCCCGCCCCTCCCCGCCAAGAGGGGGCTTGGAGGGCGGGGAGGAGTCACCAGCAGGTCTCAGCCCACCACACCCCCCCAAAATAAAGCCATAACGGTGATTTTTAGGGGGGATCCCCCAGAAGGGGGGGAAGGGGGAGCTCCTGGACGCCCCCTCCCCCATGAAGTCCATCCCCACCCCCACCCCGCAGCATCGCCCGGGGGGTCCCGGACCGAGGGGGCACCAACGAGACCTCCACCCCCCCAACCTTGAGCTGGCCCCGCCCCTTTGGTCCACAGGGGGCGGGGTTTGGGGAGCCACGCCCCTCACTTTGGGATGGGGGCGTGGATTCCGCGGCTGGTCCCGCCCCATCCTCTAAAATCGGTGTTTCCCTCCCTTCCACCATCCCAGTACCCCCTCCCAGTGCTCCCAGTGCCCCTCCCCACTGCAAACTGGGACCCTCCCACCCCAAAATCGGGGAGGTCTCTCGGTGGGCCGGGTCTCCCTCCCACCCCAAAATCGGGGAGGGCTCAGGTGGCCTGGAGTCCCCCCCACCCCAAAATGAGGGAGGGCTCGGGGGGTCGGGTCTCCCCCCCCCCGTTTTGGGGTCTCCACCAGAGTTTGGGGGGGGGATTCGGCTCCGCTCGGCTCTTTCCGTAACGAGCGGAAGGTCCCGAAGGAGCCCGAGGGCAGTTCGGGTATTTCCGTCTTCACTCGGCTCTTCCCGTCCCAGCCCGAAGCGCCCGAAGGCGTCCGGGAGGGTTCGGTTATTTCCGCGTCTCTCCTCGGGTGTTTCCGTCCCCACGCGGGTTCGGCTCCTCGCGCGGCTCTGGGCGGAAAACCCCGAAGGCTCCTCCGGGCGGCTCCGGAAAGGCCCGAAGGTTTTCCCGAGCGGCTCCGGGAAGAGCCGAACCTGGGCTTGAGGGGGACACAGAGGGAGGGGGGGGGCGCGTCGGGTGTTTCCGGCGCGGCGGCGGAAACGGCCGAGGGCCGGCGGCGGCCGCCATGTTGGGAGCCGCGGGGCGCTGAGGCGGCGTGAGGAGGAGGAGGAGGAGGAGGAGGAGGAGGCGGCCGGGCCGGGCCGGGCGGACCCCGCCCGCTCCCCCCCTGCTCCTCTCCCGGCCCCCGATGCCGCTGGCCTGGCCCCCCGCCCCTTGAGCTCCCCGCTCTCCCTTCCCCTCCCCGCACACCGCCTCGCCGCGGCTTCCCCCTATCGCGATAGTCGCCGGCGGCGCGGGGGGGCCGCCATGTCGAGCAGCGCCCGCAGCCCTTTGCCGACCGTCAACGAGAGGGACGCGGAGCAGGTGAGGGGCGAGCGGCGGGAGAAAGGGGTCTGGGGGCGTCTGGTGAGGGAAAAGGGGGTCCGAGGGGGTCTGGGGGCGTTTTTGTGAGGGGAAAAGGGGGTCTGAGGGGTCTGGGGCGTTCGGTGGGGGAAAATATGAGGGTCTTGAGGAGGGCCGTGGAGCGATTTGTGAGGAGGAAACGAATGGTCTGAGAGGGTAAAAAAGGGGGACCGGGAGGGTCTGGGGTCTTTTTGGTGGAGGGGGGTTGGGGCGTCTGGGCTGGGTTTGTGAGAGGAAAAGGGTTCTGAGGGCACTTGGGGGGTTTATTTAGGGAGGAAAAGGGGTAAAAAGGAGGACTGGGGGGGTCCTGGTTCCTTCCGTGAGGTAAAAAACGGGATCCGAGCTTGTTCTGCGGAGGGAAAGAAGGGTTTGTGAGGGGAAAAAGGGGGTCTGAGGGGGACCCCTGTGATTTTGTGAGGTAAAAGAGGTGTCCGAGGGGGAGCTGGGCTGGTTTGTGAGGGGGCAAAAGGGAGTCTGGGAGGAAACTGAGGGGCTGGAAAGGTCCGGGGTTGTTTTGCGAGGGGGTCTGGGAGGGTCTGCAGAGGGAAAAGGGGGGTCTGGGGTCAGTCTGTGAGGGGAAAAGGGGGACGTGAAAGGGGCTTGAGTGATTTTTGTGAGGTAAAAAGGGTGTCTGAGCGGGTCCTGGGCCCTCTCCGTGCAGGGAAAGGAGGGACTGGAGGGGCCTGGGATGGTTCTGCGAGGGGAGAGGGGGCTCTGAGGGGGTCGTGGGCCCTTCTGTGTGGAGGAAAGGGGGTCTCGGGGGGCCTTGGACCCGTCCACGAGAGGAAAACGGGGGTTCTGGAGGCACAAAGGGGGTGCTGGGGGTCCCCAGCTCCCCTCACAGCCCCCCTCCATGAGGCACCCTGAGGCCTTCCAATGGGCCAGACCCCCTGTGGGGTGGGGGGTCCTGGGCCAGGGCCCCCCCTCCGGGGGCTGGATCGGGCTCCTCCCTGGGATGGGGTGCAGGGAGGGGCTCCCGGGCTGGGCCCCCCAAAAGCTTTGGGGGTCCCATTTTGGGGGTCCCTGAGAGGGGACACCAGCGTGTGTGTGTCCCCCCCCAAAGTGGGGGTGAGGGGGCCAAGTCTTGCACCCTAGAGGGGGGGGCAGGCAGGGGGGTACCAGCCCCCCACGTGGACCCCACCAGGGTATTTTGTGGGGGGTGTGTGGTGATGATGTTTGGGGTGTCGTTGTCCCCCCCCTCCTCATCCGTGCAAATCGAGGTGTGGGGGCGTCGTCCCACCCCCTTCCCTGCTGCAGCCCCCTCCACACGGCGGGGGGGGATCGTGGGGGCGGCGGCGCTGCCGCGGGCACGGGGCCCTCCGACGGCTTTCGGGGGGCTCTGGGGTGGGTACCCCCCAAATTATGGGGGTGCCTACCCCTGTGAGGGGGGACCTGCCTCCCCCCGAGGTTGGGGAACGGGGGTGGGTTCACCCCTGGGTGTGCTTAGGGGGATGAGAGACCCAGAGCCCTTTGGGGGCAGCTGGAATGGGGGATCCCCCGTTTTAGGGGGTGGATTTTGGGGGGGCTCGTGGGGTCCCCTCTGCGGTTGCTGCCGGGGGACCCCAGTTCTGGCTCAGCCCTTTCTGGGGGGCACCTGAGCTTCCCCTGCACCCCTGTGCGTCCCCCCCATTTTGGGTGATGTTTTGGGGGGCTCCCCCCCTGCTGTGACGGTGGGGACCCCCAGGTGACGGGGAGGGACCCCCATGGGGTGGAGGGGGGGCACAGGTGGCCCCGTGCCCGTGTCCCCAACCTCGGGGACGAGGCGATGCCACCTGTTCTGTGCCCGTCACCGTGGCATCGGCCCCCCCTTCCCCCCCCAATCCTCGTTTTGGGTGGTTTTCCTCTTATTTATCCGCCGTTATGTAACACCAGAGAAAAAACTATTCCTGCCTGCCAGGATTTGGGGAGGGGGCGGCGGCGCCGAGGAGAGGGGGGGGATTCACATCTCCCCCCCAAACCCGGCAGCCAAAACAGGGGGGGTCTTTTCCCTGACCCCCCCTCCCCCGATACCTCTGTCACGTGGAACCTGAACTGGGGGGGTTTGGGGGGGAAAAAAAGGAGCTTCAGGAATACCTAAATTTGGGTGACATTTGAGCGGCGCCGGCGCTGCCTCCGCGGCTGCCACCGTGGGGGGGTTGGGGGGCCTGGAGACCCCCCCGGCACTGGGGACACTGGCACTGTGGGACACCGGCACTGGGGACACCGGCACTGGGGGGACACTGGCACTGGGGACACTGGCACTGGGGACACCGGCACTGGGGACACCGGCACGGGGGACACTGGCACTGGGGACACTGGCACAGGGGACACCGGCACTGTGGGGACACCGGCACTGGGGACACCGGCACGGGGGACACTGGCACTGGGGACACTGGCACTGTGGGGACACCGGCACTGGGGGACACCGGCACTGGGGGGACACCGGCACGGGGGACACCGGCACTGGGGACACCGGCACTGGGGGGACACCGGCACTGGGGACACCGGCACTGGGGACACCGGCACTGGGGACACCGGCACGTGGGGACACTGGCACTGGGGACACCGGCACTGGGGACACCGGCACTGGGGGGACCGGCACTGGGGACACCGGCACTGGGGGACACCCGGCACTGGGGGACACCGGCACTGGGGGGACACTGGCACTGGGGACACCGGCACTGGGGACACCGGCACTGGGGACACCGGCGCTGGGGGGACACCGGCACTGGGGGGACACTGGCACTGGGGACACCGGCACTGGGGACACCGGCACTGGGGGACACCGGCACTGGGGGGACACTGGCACTGGGTACACCGGCACTGGGGACACTGGCACCGCTTGTCACCAGCTCGGCATTGGTGGCACCGGCACCTCTCGGTGTCCTCGGGATCCTCACGCCCAGCTGGTGACATCGGTGATGCCATCCCTGGGCCCGGTGATGTCACTTTGGACAGGGTGACATCGCCTCAGAGCCAGTGACATAACCCACAGCTCCGGTGACATCACTCCAGCCCTGGGTGACATCGCTTTGAACTCGGTGACATCACCCTGTGGCAGGTGACATCACTTTGAGGGCCTGGTGACACCACTTTGACTCGGTGACATCGCTTTGGGCCTGGTGGCATCACTTTGGGCCTGGTGACATCACCACAACCCCGGTGACATCACCACAGCCCCGGTGACGTCACTTTGGGCCTGGTGACATCACCACAACCCCAGTGACATCACCACAGCCCGGTGACGCACTCACCTTTGGGCCTGGTGACATCACCACAACCCCAGTGACATCACCACAGCCCGGTGACGTCACCGCCATTCAAGGCGATTCCCTGCTTGGGGCCGCAGGACGGGGCCCTGGCACCTCAATCCCCCCCATTCCCACCCGTTACCCCCCTCCCCGTCCGGGACTCCCCAGCCCCGCACCCCCGCCCGGCCGCTCCGGCCTCGGCCCCAACCGGTCGAGCCGGTCCCGCGTTCCCGGCGTGTTCCTGGCGTGTTCCCGGCGTGTTCGCGTGTCCCGGCGTCCCGCGGGCTTCCGCCGGCACCGCCCGCGCGGGGACCCCTGAGGGTGTGGGGGCACTGAGGGGGACACACGGACACCCTGGTGAGTGCCAGGGGGCTCGGGGTGTGGGGGCACTGGGGGACACTGGACACCCTGGTGAGTGCCAGGGGGCTTGGGTGTGGGGACACTGGGGGACACCTAAACACTCCGGGAGTGCCGGGGGCTCGGTGTGGGGCACTGGGGACACCCAGACACCCCAGGGAGTGCTGGGGGCACTGAGGGGGCACCCAGACACCCCAGGGAGTGCCAGGGGGTCTCGGGGGGACACTGGGGGACACTCCAGACACCTCGGTGAGTGCCAGGGGGCTCGGGGTGTGGGGGCACTGAGGGGACACCCAGACACCCCGGTGAGTGCCAGAGGGGCTCGGGTGGGGGCACTGAGGGGACACCCAGACACCCCGGGGAGTGCTGGGGGGGCACTGAGGGGGACACCCAGACACCCCCCGGGGTGGGCACAGGGGTGTGGGGCTGGGTTAGTGATGGGCACATGGGGGCACCCTGTGGGGTGGGCACGAGTGGGCCGTGGGGTTAACCGGAGCCTGTTAACCAGGGTGGGGGGACACCCCTGGGTGAACCCCAATGGGGTGGGCACCTGTGGATTTGGGGGATTAACGGGGGTTTGGTTGTTGAGGGAGGGACACCGAGGCCTTCCCGCCACCTGGTGCTGGTGAGACCCCCCCATCCAGGTGATCCAGGTGACCCCCTCCCCTGCTGCCAGTAAGACCCTCCCCATCCAGGTGACCCCCCTGCCCCTTTAAGGGTTTTTTTTTGGGGGGGATCCGGTGCCGGTGCCGCCTCAAACCCCCCCAGCAGCGGAGCCAGATGGCTCCGTGCGCGCTCCCGCCCTGTTGCCACGGCAGTTTTTTGGCAGGAAAAAAAACCAAACCAACGTTTTTCCTTCACTTTTTCACCACATCACCACGCTGGATTTGGTGGGGGGGTGTGGGGAAGATCTAGTCCTTCATCCCCTCTTCCCCCCAGTCCCCAAAACCTCACGTTCTCCCCCCAAAATCTGGGGGTTCGGTTGCGCCATCGCCGGCACCTCCCCTGTGGCTTCCGCCACCGTTTCCTTCCCACGGGTGCAGGGGGGGGGAAGGGGAACCCCGAGATGTTCCCCCCCCTATAAATAAACCCTGCAGGGGTTTGGGGGGGGCCCCAGGTCCCACCCAGGGGAGGGGGCTGGCTCGGCTCTCCCGCCCCTCACGCGCTCCCGTTATCTCCGGTGTCACCGGAGCGGTGACAGCTCGGGGAGGGGGGGGTGACAGGGGGGTGACACCGCTCGGCGCCGACGTTTCACTCACTCCCCGCAAGGGAACACCCCATAAAAGTGTCCCCGCTTCGCCAGGGGGGTCCCACAGCGGGGGTTTTGGGGTGTGGGGGGTGTGTTTGTGAACTCAGGTGTGCGGGTTTGCCGTTTCTGGGGTCGAATCCTGCCCGGTTTGAGCCGCCGCTTTCCGGGAGGGGAGTGCGGAGCTGGGGGGTGGCCGTGCTGGGGGGTGGCCGTGCTGGGGGGTGGCCGTGGCCGTGTGTCCCCTCCCTGGGGAGTGGGGGTTAGGGGTGACACAGCGCTGGCCCCTTTTCCCCCCTCCCCACCCCACCCACCCCCCGGCCCATCCCGAAACCGGCGGCGCTTGCGTCAGGTATCGGGGGCGGCTCCCGGGGCGCGGCCGCGCCGGGCGGGCTCCGCTCCGGACTTTGCTCCCGGCTGAGCCGCCGAGCGCTCCGGACCCTCCCCCGGGGGTGTCCCCCCCTCTCTGGGTGTCCCCTCTGAGCGTCCCCCGTGTCCCCCCCAGCCCGGCGCCCCCGAGGGGAAGGGCGGCAAGGCCAACATGCTGCGGGGCCGCAACTCGGGGGGCAGCGCGGCCGACGAGCAGCCCCACATCGGCAACTACCGGCTCCTCAAAACCATCGGCAAGGGCAACTTCGCCAAGGTCAAGCTGGCCCGCCACGTCCTCACCGGCAAGGAGGTGGGTGCCACCCCGGGGGGGGGCTCGGTGTCACCCTGGGGCGGGGGGGGTTGGTCCTTGTCCTGTGGGTGCCACTGCGGGTTGGGAATGGTTCTTGTCCTGTGGGTGCCACCTGTGGGGTGGGGATGGTTCTTGTCCTGTGGGTGCCACTGCGGGTTTGGGACAGTCCTTGTCCTATGGATGCCACCACGGTGTGGGGACAGTTTTGGGTCCCTGTGATTCTCTTGTAGGGGCCACTACAGGGACAGGCCCGTAGTCCTCATCCTGTGGGTGTCACTACAGTGCAGGGACAGTTCTGGGTCCTGCTCCTCATCCTGTGGGTATCACCACGGTGTGGGGACAGTTCTGGGTCCTGCTCCTTGTCCTGTGGGTGCCACCACGGTGTGGGGACAGTTCTGGGTCCTGCTCCTCATCCTGTGGGTATCACCACGGTGTGGGGACAGTTCTGGGTCCTGCTCCTCGTCCTGTGGGTGCCACCACGGTGTGGGGACAGTTCTGGGTCCTGCTCCTCACCTTGGGAGCGTCACCGTGGTGTGGGGACAGTTTTGAATCCTGGTCCTCACCTTGGGAGTGTCCCCATGATGTGGGGACAGTCCTTGTCCTGGGAGTGTCACCGTGGTGTGGGGACAGTTTTGGTTCCTGGTCCTTGCCCTGGGAGTGCCAGGACAGGGATGGGCTTCCTGTGCCCAGCAGTGACTGTCACTGTGGCGTGGGGACACGTCCTGGTCCTTGTCCTGTGGGTGCCACTATGGTGTGGGGACAGGTGCTGGTCCTTGTCCTGTGGGTGCCACTATGGTGTGGGGACAGTCCTTGTCCTGTGGGTGCCACTATGGTGTGGGGACAGGTGCTGGTCCTTGTCCTGTGGGTGCCACCACGGTGTGGGGATGGGTTTGTGGTCCTCGTGCCGTGGGTGTCACCACAGGGACAGGCTCGTTGTCCTCATCCCATTGGTGGCCCCGTGTTGGGGTGTTGGTCCTTGTACCACCACGGTGTGGGGACAGTCCTCGTGGTCCTCCTGTGGGTGCCACCACGGTGTGGGGACAGCTCCAGGTCCTGGCAGTGCCACCTGGCACAGGGATGGTCCCGAGCTCTCGGTCCTTGTCCTGTGAGTGCCACCCTGGCGTGGGGACAGCCCTTGTCCCGTGAGTGTCCCCGTAGGCTGGGGACACGCTCCTGGCCCTTGTCCCACAAATGTCACCCGAGCCTGGGAACTGACCCCTGCTCCTTGCCCTGGGAGTGCCACCAGGGCACAGGGACGGGTTCCTGATCCTCCCAGCGCAGGTGTCACCGTGGGGTGGGGACAACCCTGTCCCCCAGTGCCACCCCAGCCTTGGGGACAGCCCTGGGGACCCCCTGACGCCCCCCTGTTCCCCCTCGCAGGTCGCTGTGAAAATCATCGACAAGACGCAGCTCAACTCCTCCAGCCTGCAGAAGGTGAGGGGCTGGGGGGTCCCTGGGGATGGGGGGGGAACCCAACTGATTTTGGGGGGCCACATGGTGGGGGCTGTGCCCTCTGACCCCCCCCAAATGTCCCCCCCCGTCCCTGTTCCCGCAGCTCTTCCGGGAAGTGCGAATCATGAAGGTTCTGAACCACCCCAACATAGGTGAGACCCCCTCCCCAACAAAAACCCCCTTCCCAGCCACACCCTGGGACTGCTGGGCCCCCCACCCCCTCCCTGGGGGTGTCCCCTACCCTTGGGGGTCCCAGGGGTGTCCCTCCCCCTTCTCCAGCCCCTCTTGGTCCCCTTTGCAGTGAAGCTCTTCGAGGTGATCGAGACAGAGAAGACGCTTTACCTCGTCATGGAGTACGCCAGTGGGGGTGAGTGGGGGGCTTGGGGGTCAAGGGGGCTCTGGGGGGCTGGGGGGTTCTGGGGGCTGTGCTGCCTCTCACCCCCCCCTTCTCTGTGTCCCCCCTCCCCAGGTGAGGTGTTCGACTACCTGGTGGCCCACGGGCGGATGAAGGAGAAGGAGGCCCGGGCCAAGTTCCGACAGGTCAGGGGGCGTTGGTGCTGTTTGACACCCCCAGGGGAGATTTGGGGACCCCCCTGGTGTCCCTAGGGGGGCTGGGGATGCCCCTGGGGGGCCCCCTGACGCCCCCCTGTCCTGCAGATAGTGTCGGCCGTGCAGTACTGCCACCAGAAGTTCATTGTGCACAGGGACCTGAAGGTGAGGAGCCTTCCCCTCCATCCCTGACCTGGGGACCCCCTTGGCACCCCTGGGACCCCCTTGGCACCCCTGGGACCCCCGGCAGCACCCCCAGGTGCTCCCCAGGACCCCCCCCACCTGCCCCCTCGGCCCCAATGCAGCACCTGGATATCCTTGAGACCCCCAGGGCAGCCCCCAGACACCCCTTAATCCTCTAGGAGGGTGTAAGGACCCCCCAAATCCACACCTGGATACCTGTAGGACCCCCAGATCCACACCTGGACACCTACAGGATCCCCCAGGGCAGCCCCCAGACTCCCTGAACCCCCTGGCAGGGTGTAAGGATCCCTCAAAAGCACACCTGGATACCTGTAGGACCCCCAGATCCACACCTGGACACCTACAGGATTCCCCAGGGCAGCCCCCAGACTCCCTGAACCCCTGGGAGGTACCAGGACCCCCCATCCCCACAACCAGACCCCCCCGAACCCCTGGGAGGTACCAGGAACCCCCCAAATGCACTCCTGGGAGGTGCCAGGACCCCTCAGTCCCCACAGCCAGACCCCCCTGAACCTCTGGGAGGTGCCAGAACCCCCCACTTCTCACAACCAGACCCCCTGAACCTCTGGGAGGTGCCAGGAACCCTCCAAATACACCCCTGGGAAGTACCAGGACCCCCCAATCCCCACAACCAGACCCCTCTGAACCTCCTGGGAGGTACCTGGACCCCCCAAATGCACCCCTGGGAGATGCCAGGACCCCTCATCCCCACAATCAGACCCCCCTGAACCCCTGGGAGATGCCAGGACCCCTAATCCCCACAACCAGACCCCCTGAACCCCTGGGAGGTGCCAGGGCCCCCCAGGGCAGCCCTCTGAACCCCTGGGAGGTGCCAGGACCCCTAATCCCCACAACCAGACCCCCTGAACCCCTGGGAGGTACCTGAACCCCCCAAATGCACCCCTGGGAAGTACCAGGACCCCCCATCCCCACAACCAGACCCCCCAAATGCACCCCTGGGAGGTACCAGGACCCCCCATCCCCACAACCAGACCCCCCTGAACCTCTGGGAGGTACCAGGACCCCCTAATCCCCACAACCAGACCCCCTGAACCCCTGGGAGGTACCTGGACCCCCCAAATGCACCCCTGGGAGGTGCCAGGAACCCCCCAAATGCACCCCTGGGAGGTACCAGGACCCCCCAATCCCCACAACCAGACCCCCCTGAACCCCTGGGAGGTACCTGGACCCCCCAAATGCACCCCTGGGAGATGCCAGGACCCCCCAATTCTCACAACCAGACCCCCCTGAACCCCTGGGAGGTACCAGGAACCCCCCAAATTCACCTCTAGGAGGTACCAGGACCCCCCAGGGCAGCCCCCAGACCCCCCTGAACCTCCTGGGAGGTACCAGGACCCCCCAATCCCCACAACCAGACCCCCCTGAACCCCTGGGAGGTGCCAGGACCCCCCAGGGCAACCCCCTGAACCCCTGGGAGGTACCTAGACCCCCAAATGCACCCCCTGGGATATGCCAGGACCCCCCAATCCCCACAACCAGACCCCCCTGAACCCCTGGGAGGTGCCAGGATCCCCCAAATTCACCTCTAGGACCCCCCAGGGCAGCCCCCAGACCCCCTGAACCTCCTGGGAGGTACCAGGACCCCCAATCCTCACAACCAGACCCCCTGAACCCCTGGGAGGTGCCAGGACCCTCAACTCCACAACCAGACCCCCTGAAGCCCTGGGAGGTACCAGGACCCCCAGACCCCCCATTTCCCTCCCCAGGCCGAGAACCTGCTGCTGGACGCCGACATGAACATCAAAATCGCCGACTTCGGGTTCAGCAACGAGTTCACCTTCGGGAACAAGCTGGACACGTTCTGCGGGTCCCCCCCCTACGCCGCCCCCGAGCTCTTCCAGGGCAAGAAGTACGACGGGCCCGAGGTGGACGTGTGGAGCCTGGGGGTCATCCTCTACACCCTGGTCAGCGGCTCGCTGCCCTTCGACGGGCAGAACCTCAAGGTCGGCGGGTTTTGGGGTGCCAGGGGTGCTTTTGGGGTCTCACAGGTGGCTTTCAGGCGGTTCTGAGGCGTCCCCGGGTGGGTTTGGGGCTCTCACGGTTGATTTTCAGGTGGTTTTGGGATCTCACAGAAGTTTTCAGGTGGTTCTGAGGCGTCCCCGGGTGGGTTTGGGGCTCTCAC